ATTACCCCCCCAACTAATTTTATGAAAACTCTAGAAATTTGATCGAGTCCACTTTAGTGATTACAATAGTTAAAACACAAGGCTTTGAGGAATGCAAATCATGTTTCTTTTGTTTTTAATTGAAAATCAGTTCTGAATTGTAACATACAAAACTCAATAAAACAAAGATATTATTTAATTTCAAATGCTTTTATTTACTTTTAGTTGTTTTTATGAATATGGACAATGTTTTCTGAAAGCAAAAAATTTTTTCAATGGAAAATGAATTTTTGATACAATTATTTGTTATTTCTTTAATTAAAATAGATTTTTTATATTTAAGTTGTTAAAATATTATAAAATTAGACCACATTGTAAATTGTATCATTTTGACTAATCAGAATACCCGCAGTAATTAAGAAATGTAATTTCGTGTTTATTATCAGGCTGTAATTATAAAGTACGGAATACAATTAAGTTGTGTTATTTGAGTTAAGCATTGTTTTGTGAAACACGTGTAGAGAAGTTAACTTGATTTTTCAATTTCAACTGAGAAGGGTACCTACAAGTATCACTATCATCTTATGAAATTTATATGAACTTATTCTTATATTAATCTGAGTTATGACATTTTTCCATAAATGAAATATCAAAATTAATAAAAAAATGAATGGAAATAACACAGTAAAATGTAATAAATGTACATAAAATTATAGTATTTTATATACACTTCTGATAAAATTTCATAAGAAAGGTACCTATAAATTAATTAGATACCTTTTTTAGGAAATTTAATCTCACTCTTAACAGTCTTATTTTAATTCTTTATAATATATTTTCCATAAAGCATTGTAAACAAAGGTGAAAGCTAGGTACAAGAAAAAAAAATTTGAGTGCTGAAAGTTTTCCTTAAAAATAACGAGGTAAATAATTTGTACACTTAAATGTAAATAACTTTACTTCTCTACTTCTGTAGAAGGAATTATCCTCACATCAATATGTCATTCATCAAGTGATGCAAAAGTTTATGACCTGCTTTGTTTTATTTTCAAATTACATCTTTTTGGCACAGAAGCTAAGTTAAGCTTGGTTCAAAATATTTTAAATAAACATTATAATTTCTGATTTTATTAAAATAAGTTTTTAAAAATGATAATGTATTTTTAAAAGAATTTAAAATTGAGATTTTCATTTTTTTATAAAATAGAAAAAAATGGTTGCCATGATCGATTATCTGCCAATTTTGCTGACAAAAATTTCGGACGTGCTAGGAACGATTAAACAATGTAAAAAATACCCCCAAAATACTTTGATCTTTCCTCATAACATAAACATTTAGACGATAAAATTTTGTTTTCGTCAAGTTTGGCGTCTTTTTCATCATGCTATGCTCTTTTTTTAGCAATCTCGTGGATGTACCTAATACAGCTGATGGGAAAGGTTAGACTTCAATTAATGGATCACAAGGAAGGCAATTTTTCTCTGAATAGGTGATTGAAGCCATAGAAAAGTTAGCTGATCAGAAACACAAGAATAACCTTCTTCTATTCCATTATTAATTATCTACAATCCTCTCAGCTGTATCTTCATCATGTAAAGTCGAGTTTAAAAAATTCAAAGATCTCTGTGAGTCAACTGTTTTTAATTTCTATGACAACTTTCCATGCATGGAACTCTACATCACTCTGTAGAACTGATTGGTTTGAATGATGGTTATGATCTTGAGAACATGCATGAAGAATGTTTAGAGGCAAACAACAAGGGCATTAGAAATTACTTGCAATTTTTATCCAGGAAAATCTCTTCTGTTGATCAGCTCACTGTTGTCATGTCAAGAACATTCTGACCCTGTCTTAACCAATCTTATAACTCAGTGTCACCAAAAAAGTACTGGAAAGAATGTGGTGCCACAGATTATACCATACACTCACATTCTCGGCTGTGTTCACTTTGCTGAAGAAGTGACCAGCCTTGTTGAAGATATATTTCTTGATTAATAACAGTATGTACACCAAATTGTTATTTTGAAATCCATGAAGCTTCATGCTATGAAGATTTTTAGGTGTTTTTAGAGGTGTTTTGCTGAATAGCAGTATCTCGGATCTTTGCTTTGAAGAAAGTTTGGATTTAACATGCTCTGTCTGTCTGAACCCATGTCTATCTTTTCTGATGTAATACAGCCCGAATCTTCAACTTTTTATACAATTGAAACTTTTATCATACCATTAAATTGGCCTTAAGCATACACTTCCAACAAGCCCTCAACCAACCTCTAATCTTTATCCAAACTGAAATTAGAGCGATTTTTGTACCTTCGGACAGCAATACCCAAATAAGGAAATCCCATTCCAAAACCCTAATTTTTGAGAAATTTCACCTTCTATGAACTCAGCTTGGCTATACACTTCCAAAAAGACCTTAATCACTTATCAGAAACAGATTGGGCCAAGTTATACATCATCATACCTCTATTTCCAAAGTTAGCCTATCTGGTCCCACTGTGTATCAGGTCATATTGGGCTGGTCTAAAGTGGAATGAAGATGCAAGAAAAGGAAATAGCATAAATAAAAATAAAATAAGTTTATATCTGTTCCTTTGTACAATATTTGGTTCATTCATTGTCAAAATCTAGCAGTTCACATGCAGATGATTATTGACCCAACCTGCTTCTTAAGTTAGACATGACACTTTGCTGACTTGGTGAAATTTGTGACAAGGCTGATATTGCAGATTCTCTTTGGCAGGCGTGGAGTGTTTCTCATCAGGTGGCTGGAACAATCTCTCTGAGTTGCCTCAACACCTTCGTATTTATTGACATTCACCTAAAACCAGTGTGGGGGCATGACACAGTTTGGAGTTCCGGTGATTCCCCTAATTGCCAACAAGAGCCCATTGTTGTCTGGCCCTGGGAAAATTAATTACATGCTCAATTTTGGGGAGATTCCCACTTCCATGAGGAATGGTCGCAGGATATCAATCCACCCCAACTTTTTCTTTCTCTTATTAGTATCTCACACTAACACCTCCCAATGGGCGTGGGTAGCTCCTCCACATTCTTATGTGTCTCATTGGCACCCACCACCATGGCTACTACTCGATCAATGGCTCTCAACCACTTAGTGTAGCTTAACTTATGTTCATTAATTAAAAAGAATTATCATTTAAAATTTTACTTACACAAAATTTTCTGTCTTGTTCAAAATCACATATTTACCAGATGGCTGTCTGGTTGGTCCTGTCCTCAACCCTATCAGGGTCATTGCACTCCAGCCATAAGGAATCTATTTTCTTGAGTTTTGGTTACAGATCAAATCTTATCCGTCTTACTTATTTTGTGTTTTCGTAACCAGTACTTTTAGCAATGATCATCAATCAATTGACAGAAGATTGTCACATGGCCTTCTCATAAAATTATCGCTTTAAGTAATTCTTTGGTTTCTTGAGAATTTAGGCTTTTTTTGAAAAATAAAATCTTCAGTCTTTCTCACAGTGGTTGATTGGTATATTCATCATTTTATCCATTAATCCTTCTTTTCATTTACCAGTGCTAAATTCATTTACCAGTGCTAATAGTCACACTATTAACAAATCAATTTTCTTAAAATTCTATATAAAATCCAAAGAATATGCAAAGTTATTGGTCCAGACCTGGCTGTTAAACTCTTGCTGGATTCACCTTTTTCATTCTGGTCACCTTCATTTCAAGATAGCTTTCCTCTGCTTTGGTTAATTTTGAATCCTATGTATTGAAAATTGCCTTTTTCTTGCTTCCCAGCAATAAACCAGGACATGAACGGCTTGATCAGATTTTTTATTTCATGCATACATGAAATCAACATGTGCAATGAGAGCACCAATTACTTCACCATCTTCAACTTGGAAAAAAAATGTGAGGAATTAACCTTAGATTATCTCTTTCCTAGATTCACTAATTCATTCCTAACACTATCATAAAAGTGTCAGGCTGAATCGACCAATCTGTATAGTGTCTTTTTCAGCTTACACAATTTTGCAATACTTCTTTTTGCTTAAGGAGGAGGAGGTTTGATGAATACATCCTGTTGAATCTGTCTTCCCTGAAGAAATGCAGATTTTATCACTTGACTTAATCAACCAACCCTTGTTTATAGCTTTTGTGACAAGTAATCTCATGGTGCTTTTAGCAACAGTTAGAGAATCCCTCAGCCATTTCAATTTCTTCAAAACCTCTCACCACTACATGAGCCTTGACTTGTCTTTCCTTCCTTGTTATCATCCATTTAGTGAAAATGCATGTCTGCCCCATATTATCAACATCAGTGTAAACATCAATGTCTATTAATCTTTGAATCTCTGCTTCTTTTGCTTTAAGGTATTCATCTTTATCATGTTTGTTCCATTTTATCAAGGGAAATTAACTCAACACTGGTATCTTGGCTTCAGTTACTTTCCCACTGCTGTAATATAAATTCCTTGTGTATTTTACATAAATATTTTCAAGGTATTTGTTCTGATAAGCTTTCCTTTTTGGTACCTTGATTTTACAAATTTAAATGTGGTACTAGATTGGCAGTTAGGCCTCATTATTTTAGCTGAAATTGCTAGATATAACCATAAGTTCTATGCTAATAGTTTCTTCTCTCACTTGTGGAACTCTTTTCTGACTTCTTGCTTTCCAGTCAACATTGATCTTCAAAACTTTAAATGCAATGTCAATCATCATCTTCTCTATCACTGAAACTTGTTCTTTTATTGTCCACTCTCCTTAATATTGATTTTTCTCATATTCTTTCACTCTCAGTAACCCCTTGCATCTTAGTGGCTTTATTGCAGTGCTTAGGGTGAAATGATTATTCTAATTATTATGAAGAACAGTTGTAACATTCACAGTGCTAATCTAAATGATTTTTTTTCACTGAAGCATCTATTTGCTAGTGAAAAATTATATTCTTTCCTCAATGATTTTTAAAAATTCTGTTGATATTGTGAAACTTATAATGAAGATAGCTTTGAAAATATAGGAAACAAGAATGTCATATACCTTTTTTGCATTTGCCATTTTATACCATTCTTTTGATGACCTAAAAAAAAAAAATTACTGTTTTGCTTATTCATTATTGATAATATAATGCTGCAGTTTTTGAACTATGAAGTTATAAGAAGGTTTTGACTGTAATTTACTTTCATTTAAACATTAAATTCATTACTCAACATTTGCTTTTAATAATTCCATCATGTGTATTCTTCTTGATTAATTTAAGCTGATTAATTTGTACAAGAATTTATTGCATTAATGCATCCATTCATATTTTACAAAATATCTTCATTTTTTTAATTTTGAGCAAAACTATTTTCAAATAAAAACAATATTATCACATGTAATTTAACGTGACATTCAATTTACATTGTACGAATATATTTTGTAAAGAATTACAAAAAAAGAAAAGGAAAACAATACTATAAACTTTTAATATTTTGGTGGTTTCAATAAACCACCAAAATATTATAAGTTTAAAACTTCCTATAACTAAAAGTGATAAAGGGTAAATAATAATAATACAGTAATACCTTGAGATATGAGTGTACCAACATGCATTTTTTTTTAGATACAAGCCAGAGTTTGGATAATTTTTTGCCTTGAGATACAAGCGAATTTCAGTCAAGCATCTGCAGTACATATGTTCACCTATGCTCTGGAAGGATCTCTGTGTTATGTCTTTTTTTGCTATTATTTTGCAAAATTCCTTTAGTGACACTATGGGTCTGTAAAGAGCAGTGTTTAATTTTAGGGGCCTGGAACAGATCGGAAATATTCCCATTAATTTCAATGGGGAAAATTGATTTGAGATGAGTCTTTTCAGTTACGGAACGAATTAAACTCATATCTCAAGATATTACTGTTTCTGTATTAGCAATGTGCTGTGACACCTACCAAAAGGTTGAACAAAGTTGATTGTGCCACCTAGCAGTGACTGATGATAAAATACTTCAAGATAGCTTTTATTGATATATAGCCAGAGAAAAATACTTTTGTACTTCTTTCCTCTGTAAATGTTGTCATTTGACTTTTTAGCAAAGCTAGATATTTGTGCTTACTCATTTACTGAATTTCATTTGGAATAAATTTTTAACCAACTTTGCTATATATTTTGTTGCAAAAAAACATTTAGATGTCATATCATTAGTTTCATGATTGAATACAAACTTTTCAGCACCCCTCATACAATTTTAGATTAAGTTAATATTTCACAAAGTTCTAAACTGAAACTTACATTAAATGTATTCATTAGGATATTAATTATAATAATCTTTAAAAAATAGTAAAAAATATTAAATATTTGGTTATTTCTTCAGACAATTTTTCTTGCCAGATTATCAATCGTCCATGCATTGATATTCAATCCATGCTACATTTGGTCTGGTACTTCTGCTATGCATCTAGAGATTCTTAACAGAATTCAAAGAATCTACAATGTCACTAGTCCTGACTTAGCATCTTGGTTTCAGCCATATATTCAACACCATAACATAGCTTCCCTGTGCCTTTTCTGTAAATACTTTCATGGTAATTGTTTTAAGCTTTCCCCTTTGATGCCTTGACTTCAGAAATTTAAGTATGGTACTAGACTGGTAGCTTAATATCATTATTTTACTGTTGAAACTTAAGTGTAAGTTCTATGCTAATTGTTTCTTCTCTTGCACTTCTTGCTTGTGGAAGTCCTCTTACTTTCCTATCAACAACAATCTTCAAAAATTTAAATGTGACACAAATCATCATCATCTATCTCCTTTTCAGTTTCTTTCATTCACTATAACCCCTTTTATCCTAGTGGTTTTATTGCCTTGCTTGGGGTGAAATGATTAAGAAAAAGAGATCAGATTCAACAAATCTTGAATTGTGGATTTTTATATATCCAACACATTTTACTTCAGCTCTTCTGCTATTTTCATTGTATTTTCAAATTGGTTCTATATATTCATTTTCTTAGCTTCATTTCTGCAGCTGGATATTGATATAAAAAGTTTGGTACTTTAATTAAGTTCTAGTAAAAATACATTTAATGCAAGTTCAAGCTGATAAAAAAAATTCAACATGATGTCACTATTTTTGTGTATTTATACAATCTGCCTTATTATAATAGCATTGTTTTATGAGTAACACAATTACACTATAGTTATTTAAATTTAAAGTGACTCCAAAACAACACAATGATGGTTTAAATCAAGAATTGGTGCCTCAGAATTTAAAAGACCTTCACAACAACTGTAAATTTAAAAGATAATCTGCTATGAGGTGCCATTAAATGATGATTAACTTTGATATAATTTATTTGATTCAATGTGAAGTTTTATTTTTATTTTATACCTTTCTCACTGCTATATCCATTTTTTTTTCTATAAATACTTTCATGGTAAGGGAAAGAAGGAAGAGGAAAGAGTCTACTAACTGGATGATAATTGTTGAAATTCACAGGAAGATGGTTTGAAAAGTTGAGAAGAAAATTAAAAACAAAATGCATTGAAAAATAATAAATGAGTTCTTGAACACCTCCAGGAATTATTGAACCCAAATTTAACTAGACAGAATTCAGTAAGATTGAGCAAAACCAAAACTACCCATCCATCCCTACTTCCTGATGAAAAAGAGGCCATTAATGTATCCTCGAAAATGTCAAACAGAAAAACGTGTTGTCCATAAAGAAATCTGGGTGGTCACTGAAATTACTTAAAGATTGCTCTGAACAAAAAAAGCCAGGAAAAAGTAACAGTTTGAATTGGCCACCCAGAAGAAAAGTGTCCCTACAAAAATAGAAGATTAGCTTGATGTATTTGTTCATTATAATTTCTGTGACATTCACCAAGAAAAAATTTATATCCAACATTAATTCAGATTCCTTTGGATACAAGTGATAAAGAAAAATGAATTACTATTTTGGAGTAACTATGAACAAAGAGGCTGTGTGGTCTTGATCATAAAAATGCATAAACAGAGGAAAGATAAACTTGTTTTTATCACTAAAGAAATTAGGAATAATTTTCTTTCCTTTTCTTTCCCACCTATGAAAATTCTTGAGTGGTCTGGTTGATAGAAAAATCACAGCATGGAACAAGCTGATAAAGCTTAATGATTGAAAATTCCTTTTGTTTCTTTCCCATGCCATCTGAAAGTTTGGATTCATCACAAAGACAGTGTACCAGCCCTTGAATACCGAGAAAGTGGGAGATGGAAGAGAGAGAGAGAGAGTGAGAGATTAGCATCACCTATATGGAGCAATGATGCAAGATAAGACATGAAGGGAGTTGAAGCTAGACAATCCCAAATTTGGAAAACCACTGGAGTAAATATATTTTGAGAATATGGGATTTTAGATAAAGATTGATGGAAGGATGGAAAACAACCAAACTCAGCCTGATCAACTCCACCCCTGCCAGATGCAGGACTCCATAAAAACTGGAAATTTGGACAACTTGAAGAGTTCCCACATTACTGCTACTGGAATCCACATCATCTGACAAGTCCTCCTGACCAAGACTTTGTGCTGATCCTGAAGTCCAGAACTTAGAAACTTAAGTTACTACTAACACAAGCTACAGACTCCAAAGAGGATCTCAGTGTCATTTGATTATAACAATAAGAGGGAAGGATTAAAACTGCTGTATACAACAAATCACACATAAATCAAATCGTTACATTTTTAACACAATTCTTTATTCCAGAGGATTCTTTTTTGTGTTGCTCCCAGCTGTTGACCCATCTCCACTTCAGTTTGCTTCATCAGCGATTTTCTCACCCTCTGTGATAAAAAAACACAACATGGCAGAGGAGTGAATGGTCATGAACAGACAAATGCCATGTCTGAAAGAACTTGAAGACCAACGTGGGAGTGTGGATTACATTATTGGTTATCATTGACAAGGATCTACTCATGGAACATAGACATTATGAATTTAAGCACAGTACTAGATTGGAGGCAAAGTCTCAATTTACAAATGAAATGGTTAGATGTAACCATAAGTCCTATGCTAACAATGTCTTCTATCGCACTTCTTGCATGTGGAACTTGTGGGCTTCTTACTTCCAAGTTAACTTTGATCTTCAAAAATTTAAACATCAATCATCTTCTGTTGTCTTAATTCTTATTCTTTTATTGTCCTTTTTCCTTAATAGTTTTCTCATATTCTCTAACACTCAGTAACCTCTTGCATCCTAGTGGTTTATCTGCTTGCTTAGGATGAAATGATTATAAAAAAAACTTGACATCTGTACAATTCCTGACTTAGAGTGCAATTGTCATATAAAGATATGATGTCTCAAATTCAATTTACCAGTGAGGGGTAATAACTTGTTAAGGATAAAATCTGATTTAAAAATGTTAAGAATTTTGTTTTAATAGTCTTATAATAGTATAATCACAAATAGCCAAGCACTACAAATCCTACTAATTACTGATTGAGTGGGAACAAGATGTAGAATTATTGGAAAATTGAATAAAGAGGTATAAATACAGGATATGTATAATAAAAAAAAAATAATAGGAGGAGGAGGAGTAGCCAAAGTTGAATATTTTAAACAATTAAATATTGTTAAATATAGTTAAATATTGGGTTAATACTTACTTGACTCCCTTGATATTGTACATCATTGAACTGTATAAAGGATCCTGAAAAATGTACAGCAGTTCCAATAGTTATACACTAGAACACGACTTGATTTTTGATAACTCTATATGAGACTAATAGAATGTTTCAATTACTTATTTTTAAATGATTGCCACAAATTGTTTTGTTTTTCTTGACTGCCAAAAAAAATCATGATTCTCAAGTAGTTTAGTTTTTGTTTTTAATGCATACATTTAAAACCCCATTTGTGATTATACCTAATTAATAGTTTCATTAATCCTTATGTAACAATAGATCCTTCTCCCACCATTCTAAAATACACAAAGTAGTATGAAAAGGAAAAAAACTTACATAAAGGTAAATTAAAAATGAAAGAAATATTCTTTTGCCTTCAGTGTAAAATAAAGGCTTCAGTGGAGCAACAGCATTTTCATGTAAGCTGTAAAAGAGAAATTGTTTGTTGATAAAGTAAAAAATCAAATATATAGTATCTCTTCTCTAAAATAAAATGCAATGTTGACTATATATTTATTGGTCACACAGCTTGATCTCCATTTATATTTATTGAAGAGATATTCTTTTATTATGGTAACAGGAGGCATTACTCAGTACCAAATAATGGAATATCTTATTAGTAAGTGGTAATATATTGTTAATAGATTGCTTTTTATATCTTCTGTTTCTAGTTAGCTTTCTTTAGATGTTTTTAGTTTTACTCATTTCAAAGGCAGAATTCTTTCTCATGTGTGATAATTAATTGTAAAGATAAAAATCATAAAATATAGCCAAATGTACTGGCTATATTTCTGCAGAAAATATAACCAAAACATTTTTAAAATTACTTTAATATTGTTGTAATTTTTTATGGTACTTGTAAATTAGTAAAAATATTTAAACTTAACATGTAAACAATTTAATACAGCAAATATATTTAAACACAGACCAGAATCAATTTATTTTTCCTGAAACTCCTAGAAATGTAATGTGTACATTTTATATTTCCTGTCAAATGTTATATTATTACTTAGTTAAATAATTAACTGTGAAAGTTTCTTTTTTTATGAAACAAAGATTGGAATAACTAGCAAAGAATAAAAGATGACATAATTTTCAGTAAGATTTTTTATATTTGTCATTTTGTTTTACTTAATGTAAAAACTGTAAAATGAATTTTCTAAATATCTAAATAAACAACGCATGACATGCTACTCACATTGCATTATGATATATCTTTCCACTTTGCATCAATATTTTCATAGCCAAGTAAATTGCAAATTGCATTCTTGGGGGATTGAATTCAACCAGCTAAACAGAAAGCATTAAAAAAAAACAAAAAAAAAAACAAATAAGAAATGAATTTGCTAAAATCAATGAATGTGTCATAAGTGAGATTTTTATTTAAAATAACAAATTCTGCAACAATGATATTTAATAAAGATTGGATTATTATGTTTTCTAATGACTGACTAGCAAATATGGCAATGGATAGTGAAAGGAGACGATCAATAAACTTAAGTAGTTGATCAACAGGGAGTTGAGTCACAATTGTCAGAAGTTGAATCAATTCATGATGAGTACATGGTCAGTTAACAGCCTAGATGATAGGATAATGTTTGGCAAAGAAGATTGATTTGACAAAGATGTAATCAAACAAAAGAAAACTGATAATAATATTTAATAAAAATAATAATTAACCAGTGTATTGTCAGTAAAGTGATGAGGGAGTAAGCTTGGGAGTAGGAGGCAGATCAGAGGTTAATTTACAAGCAGATAATAATAATAATAAGTAACAAAGAAAATAGAATTGGCAAGTCAATTTGAAATTTCTACTTGTCAGACAACTTGTGTTCTCTTCATTCTAGTGTTGTTGGAAAAGGCATGATAGCCACAACCATGATTTACATAGTGGTGCAGACTTGGTTCTTGGTTGGCAACAACTAAATATAAAATCATTTCACTCTGTTACTAAAGAGCAATCATAGTAAAGTACAGTTTACAGATATGAAAAAAGGAAGCTGTAGAGCGTCATGATCAACTATATCCTAACAGGACATATTTTAATTAGTAGGTAAATCAAAAACATTTAATAGGAACAAATGTTCATAGCAAGATTAGTCAGATGTAATAAATACCTTAACAGGAAATTATTAGTTTAAATAGAAAACTAATAATCTGCTGATAAGTTATGTCACAAAGAATGGCATTATGAATATTTTAAAAATTCTTACTTTAATTCAAAAAGGTGTGTGTGAGTGTATGAAGTTAGTAAGAGAAAAGGAATATAAATGTAGGCTTACTGTATGTCCATTAGCTTCTAAGAACTTTTTAACAACCAAGACTGCTCTCTGGCTGGCAGGACTTGCTGTCACAAGTGGATCTGTCAGATAGTATCCAATACGTAATTTTTCTTTGCTTTCCAATAACTAAAAATAGAATCAAGTCCTGTTTTTGCATTGTAATAGAAATTAAAACACGCAAAAGTATAAAGCTGATACAAAACTTCCCAATATCATCTATTACATTCAAGTTTACTCATCTCTTTATTGCTTCTGCTATCAATCACCTTACACAATACTTTGGAAAAATTTAGAAACTAGGAAAACAGTTTGCTCAATAAAGAAAGAAAAAAGGCATTTTTGAAAAAGAAAGTCAATGGTGATGAAAAATGGATTTATAACAAGAAATCAAAATGAAGAAAAGGTTCAAAATCTAAACGGGGGAAAAAAAATCAAAAGGAATTCTTTACTATGAATTGATGGAATCTTGACAAACTGTTAATGTACAATGTTATAATGAGCAATTGGTTCATTTGAATGATGCATTGGAAACAAAAAGAACTTTTTTCTCAGCAATCAATGCTTTTGCTTTATGACAGCTTCCATGTTGCAAATATGATGTAACAAGTAATCCTGGAGCTGAGATGAACATTTTTTCTATGTATTCTACACACCTGTCATCTTTAGACTATTGCACCATGTAACAACTCTTAGATGGTCAGTGGTTCCAAGTTCAAGATATCAAAAAATTCTTTAAAGAATTTCTTGAATCAAAATCAGGATCAATTTGACTTTCAGACCCCACCACCATGTTTATTGCATATTGAGAAAATCTCTGACCCATACCATTATTAATACATCTCACTTTGTATTATATATATATGTATGTATGTAGAGAGAGAGATTACATTGAAAATGTCCTCATTTGAGGGATTGGTTGATCATCAGGCCCGCAGGATTTATAAAGGTGTTTTAATAAGCTTGGTGGGTGTCTTGATTCAATACTATCATAACTTATTATTATTGGAAAACTATTGAAAGTGGAAAAGAGGTGCCTACTATGACATGGAAAACACTGGCCAAAGCAAGACCATATAATGGTACTGGTAAAGACTGCAATTTATAGCTGCCAGAAAAATGAATAAACCTGCAATGAATGGAAGCTGAACTCTTGAATAAGGGAAACAAACTTATGGCCACATAGTGGCATAAGAATAAATATTTGATTAAAAACACACATCCAGGGTCACCCCTGAAGTATGTAAGTTAAATGATAGCTTGGTTCTGTAATTCCACTTGCTGATTGTTATTACATGAAACTCTGATGTGTTTTGTCATCTGCTGGAGCTACCAAATCTTCACATTCCAGTTTCAGTAGAGTCCAAAAGCATCTCCATGTCTTTGTGGGTGACAAATTATTTTTCACCCTACAACCCTTTTCTCACAGACCAAATGTTGCAAGCTTCTCACTGCTCAGAAAGTGTTCAGACAAACTATATTCCTTAGTTCCACCACCTTCACTTCCATACCACACACATTGTAGTGAACCACTCTTCATACTCCATTGGTAAGATGTAAGTTCCATTTAAGCAGCTCCTTTCAACAAACCACTGCTTTGTGGAATCAATTCCCAAGAGGATCCTTCCCTGATCACTACAATCTTAACCTAGTCTCGGGTTAATCGTTATCTTCCCCACATATTCACATAAACTGTGTTTTTTTACTCTTATTAACAAATGGGACAAATATCTTTAGAAAATAGTAAAGCAATAAATGCTTTATCTCTCCATTGAAACTTTATTATTTTATTCCCTGATTATTTGAATCTATTTATTTACATCCATATTTTGCATGTCTAAACAAAGTTTTGAAACCTGAATAAAGGTTTATCCCTTGTTTCCTTGCTAGGATTAGGTTTCTACTTCCTTCTAAAGTCTTATTTCTTTCACTCCCAGTAACCCCTGCATCTTGGTGGTATTATGGCCTTGCTTGGGATGAAATGATTTAAAAAAATGAAAAGAAAAGTTTAAACTCACTTGTAAATTGAATAATACCAATGGGCATTTTTTTTCAGAGTGATATTTATCTCATCTGAATCTCTGTCTGAATTTCTGGGATGAGTTGGTATGATTACTTAAATTATTGGAATAGGCTATTTACCAGCAAAATAGACTGTGTCTATTTTAATGACACTGGCAAAATAACCTATTTGCAAATTATTTACAGTTCTCATCTTTCATTGTTGTTATCACATCTTCAGGTGTCTGTAACTTTCAGTGAATTTTGAATGAGATTCTTTATTTAATCTATTGTAGTAGATCATTCTTGTTCTGCTGTTTATATCTGGAGATAACTAATCTTGTTCTTTTTTAGTACTACTCAGTTGTTGTTAGTCCTGTTTCCATGGAAGCACAGTCTGTACTATCAGGTCATCCCATAAGTTCTGTCCGAATTTTAACTTTTTGTTAAAATGAACGAAATTTAAAGAGTATTTTATAATGTCTAATGGAGCTGAACATTATTTTTATGTTTAGATGCATTTAAACTGATCAAATTTTATTTCAGAGAACAATAAAATTAAATTTTGTTTGATTAAAACCCTGCTAACATGGAAGTACCCAAGAATCATTTGAGGCACATAATGCTTTATGAGTTCAAGAAAGGAAACTCAGCAGCTGAAGTGGCTAGAAACATTCACTCAGTTTATGGAGAGGAATGTGTGAATAAAAGAACTTGCAGAAGATGGTTTGCAAAATTCAGAGGTGGAGATTTCACCCTTGAAGATGAAGATCGAACCGGTCGTCCAGTTGAGTTTGATGAAAAGCTTCTTGAAGCAGCCCTTGAAGAAAATCCTGCTTTATCAGTTGAGGAATTGGCAGTGGTTCTCAGTTCAAACCATACAACTGTTCATCGTCATCATCAACAACTCGGAAAGTTCCTAAACTTGGAAAATGGGTGCCTCATGAATTGTCTGAAAACAACCTCAAATCCCGAGTTGACATCTGCTCTTCTCTCCATTCTCGCCAACTTGTTTCACCTTTTTTGGATAGACTTGTGACTGGCAACGAAAAATGAATCTTTTATCGAAATGTTAAGCGTCATAGACATTGGCTTGGTAAAGGGGAAGGACCCTAGCCACAGCCCAGAATGGAACTTCATGGGCAAAAGGTTCTTCTTTCAAATTGGTGGGATCACCAAGGAATAATCCACTTTGAATTCTTACTACCTAATGCAACAATTAATGCTCAAATATACTGTCAGCAATTAGAGCATTTGAACCAAGCTTTGAGGAAAAAAAGACCTGCTCTAGTGAATCGAAAAGGGGTGATGTTTCATCAGGACAATGCGTGACCCCACACAGCAAGAATCACATCACAAAAGATCGAAGAACTTGGTTGGGAGAAAATTCCTCATCCACCTTATTCTCCTGATCTTGCTCCTTCAGACTATCATTTGTTTCGTAGCTTACAGAATCATTTGGGAGAAACAGCTTTTGTAACACAGGAAGAGGTTAAAACTGACATTTGTGAGTTCTTCGAATCAAAGCCAAAAGAATTTTACAGTAATGGAATTAGTAAGCTTGTTAATAGGTAGAAGGAAGTCCTAGATAATCAGGGAAAATACATTGTTGATTGAATCTGTAATTAAATGTAACATTTGGTCACTTGTTTTCTTTATTCAAAATTCAGACAGAACTTATGGGATGACCTGATACCTGTACACAATTATTATGGTACCAAATTCACAAACCAACACTTTATTTCTTAAGATTATTTCCCCATGGAACAATACAGTGTATTAAATTAAACAAAACAAAACAAAACTAAATGGTAAAAGGAATGAGGGGACAATTGGTTGATCAAACATATCGATGCGATGAAATACAGAAAAAATATTGACAGCAGATTATAGAATATATGTATATAAACATGTAAATACTAAATGTAAATTGTAGGGATCGACGTCGATCGATTGTTATCAGAAATAAAGTTTGAAAGAAAAGATGTCCATTCAGTATAGATGACTTGGGTTTGAGAATACTGTTCAGGATTCTTTCATCAGTCATTTGATTCTTGGTGACGTCCGATTCCTCTGAAAGCAAACAGCTAAGTCCAATTTTGGTGACGCCCAATTCCTCTGAAAGCAAACAGCTAAGTCCAATTTTGGTGATGTCTGATTCCTCTGAAAGCAAACAGCTAAGTGAAGTTGTTGTATCCCAACACATGCGAAAAAAAAAAACGTTAGTAGTTAAGTCACATGTTGGCATATGAAAGTGAGTAGGCATTATCCATTGAAAACTATTAAGGTCACTTGTACCTATCAGACAAGCAGTGTTCGTCTGGCCTGCGATCAGAGACCAGACAGGAGGTGGGGGGAAAGGAAGGTTCTCTTCCAAGAACTGGCTTTAGTTTAACCGGGTACAAAAAAAAAATATTCCATAATCTGCATATTCAAAGAAATAAAGAGACGATTGTTATTCTCATATCTCGTCGCAAAGATGTAAGGTATTAAAAATATACTTGTAAAATCTAAGGTGGGGGTACAATTATTGATCTAACATAACACTCCACTACCATTTTTCTTTATTAATAGCTCCTATATGGTATTTGTTTTAATGCTAGGCCAGTTGAAGAGGTTGTCATAGCCTAACATATGTGCTGATTTCTTCAGACATCTAACCCTATAGTTTTCTTCTGTCTAGTTATTTTTGCTTGATTACAGAAGGCTAAATACATGATCAGCCATGTCTGATTTGTCACATCCCTAATTACAGCCTTACTTTTAGGAGAAGGTTGTATTCTGCAAGTGATGGAAATACAGTCATATACTCGTCTGTGCTAGACTTGACTCAGCATAGATATCTCCATAAAGGTTTAACTGCTTCTAAATATTGTCCTGTTGTTGTATGGACAGATCTTAATTATTTTCTGACACACCCATATATATATATATGTGTGTGTGTGTGTGTATGTATGTATACCTGTAAGACAGACCATAGCAGTTTTCTAATCATAGCAAGCAGAAGGGTCTTCTGTCTCTGCCTGCTATGCTTGCTGGGTAGGAATGTTATCTGAACTGACAGACACCTGAAGGAGGTTTGAGGGCATAAGTGAAATGTTATGATAATAACAAAACAGATAAGAACATTAGTCCGACTGCAAATAATGCAAATGACAATCTTGGTCTCTTATAGCATTTACAATAAAATAGGATTAACACAGCAGACAAAAATGTACACTGGCATTCAACCAGTCAAAGTAGGTCATTCTTATCAGTTGGTATGTACTCAAACCAAAAAATAGGTATCAAAATTTAAATGTATAGAGAAATCAGTAGTTGTAAAATGTTCATAACTTAAATAATCATATTACTGTAGCATTCAATATCTATTTCCAGTTTATTAAAAAATAAGATAACTAGAAAGTATGAAAATAACTATATTTAACCAGAATAAAAAAAAACATATCAAGGAAGAGAAATAGGTAAATATTTTAAAAAGTCAAAGAATACTGAAAAACCATACCTGAGTCTGAAATGGTATTGAAGGAATAAAACTGTCCATTTGGATAACTCTAGGACTTAAAAGAGCTTTCATTAGCACAATCAAAGATTTTGTGCTTGGACCCATGGGACCAATAGCAGTAGGCACTACAATAATACAAAATATTTTAAGATGAAATGTTAATATTGCCAAATAATCAAATAATAAAAAAGAAAAAGTGACAGTGACACAAACACAGGAACAATTAAATGTCAAAAGATGATATGCTTTTTTTTAATATTGTTTGTATTTAAATTTTTTGAAAATACTCTCTTCATTTTAAGGAATGACTGTCACTGAATTATAAACTTTAAAAAGTATGTATAAAGTACGATTAATATTAGTAAAATAATTATAATGGTTATAGACATGACTTTAAAAACCTAAATCTAAAATAGTAAATACAAATATTTAATTTAAAAGGTTTTTGTGTTTAATTTGGGGGAAGAAAAAATATAATAATACAGTATTGATTTGTTTAGAGTATATTTTCTTGAATGACTAGATGTTGAAAGAGACTTGCTACCATTGATTACACTATTAAAAGGGCATACTGAAAAGTTCTAGGCCCTACCAAAAAGTGATTAATTCAGATGTTTGATCATTTACTCAAATTATTGGAAGTGGTTTTGGTCAAGAAATTTTGAGTATCCTTTGTTTCACAATAATGAATAAAAAATTAAAATCAATGGATTCTCTTTAAGATTTTCACTGTTAATTTGGATATTTAAATCTAAATAATGCCATTTCCGTTTTTATTATATTTACCATTAGAAATTGTTATATAAGAATATGCTTTATTTTGATTAAAACCAATGGAATTTATTAAACTATAAAGAATGATGTTAACATATTTCTTAAACACTGGCATTTTTGTTTTTCTCTATCATGCCATGTGACACATTTGTTTATTAGCATCATTTTCTTTTAATTTTGTTTTTACCCAAAAAACAGCTTTACAAATCAAAGCACAACAATAATGCTGAGAATAATTATGTTGTGTAGCTATTTATATTGCCTGAAATAAAACTGTGGGATGAATACCTATGTGGATCACAGGCAATAATGCAACATGCCACATGACATGTGGGTGCAAATAAGATGTCCTCAAAATACAAAATGATTAGTTGAAAATATTGTACATAATCATTTAAATGCATTAAAATAGACTTGAGTAAAGTTTCAGATCCATATAAATATTTCTTATGACATTAATTACTCAGCATAATATTTTCATATTTCTTATTTTTTTAAATAATGTTTCACCCATTGTGTTCTCACACAAATATAATATTTTAGAGTGTTGTCCAATATTTCAAACATGAATTTAATATCTGAATAATAAATTTACAATCAAAGCAAAATAAAGAAAGTTAAAACATGCATAATTTAGTGTATGAGAAAAAAGTAATTTTCTTTTATTATTTTACAAATGAATACATTACAATATATCTTTCTCTTGAAATAATTTTAATACAGAGAAAATATTTCTGGGAGTACTTAAATTAAAAAGGCAATTTATTCTTTCATAAACTTATGTTTGGTAGCTACATGAACCACGTATCCAATTCTGTGTAAGTCAAGAATATTTTGTTGAAAATTAATAGGACAAAGAAGATAAAAACAATATTTACCCAATGATTGTCCATTAAACAAACTGCAAGTACTAGAAGACCTGGAAAACAGACAACAGAGAAGGAATAGATCAGAAAATAATATAAAATTGACATAAGCTGAAAAATATTTAAATCCTCTCATTGCTATAAAGCAGCTTATATAAATATATTATTTATTGAAAAAGATTTAATACAAACATTTTTCTTTTTAATTTTTAAAGATATATCTTGTCAGAATTTTGGTAGACAAACTGTTTTAATCATTGTATTGTAAAGTTGGTTCAGGCAAGAAAAGGAAATTATCAAAATCAACCACATCCAATACTTCATAATAAAATTGTGTAAAGAAGTTATGAGATAAAAGGCCCCAGACAAAATAAAATGAGCCCCCATTAACCACTCCAAAATCTAATTTGCATCCAAAAAAGATGATGATGTGTATCAAGTGGGAATGGTGTATTGTGGCAGGGGTGACATCACCTCTGAAATAATAATAATGATAATAAAGGAGGATATGCTGTAAAACAGAAAACACCAAGTGAAAGAGGGGCATTTTAGAATAACCAAGATGTTTATATGCTGCAACGACTTTGAAATGTAAATGTTATAGAAAGTTAATTTAGAACACGAAATACAATATTTTTGTAAGTGTACAGAGGATATCAGATTACTAATAGAAAATTACTGGAACAATAATAATTTGGAACTTTTAAAAAAAGAAATGGATTTTGACACTATAAGAATCGAAGTTAAAATAAAGGATGTTTTGATCTAGAATTTATTTTTGAAACAAGACTGTAGTTTACAAAGAGCAGCAGAATAATTAATAGTGAGGTGATAAACAATAGTGTCTTGTTGTGGACCTTGGAAAGCAATTGATGAAAAAGTAAATTGTGTATTCTCGGAGGAGTGAAGTTGTACTTTGGTAGTATGTCAGTACATTCACACTAGAAAAACAGACATGTCACCAGTCTAGGACATGCAGGCCGGTTCTCTTAATAAAGAGGCAAGCCAATGAAAGAGGGAGTTTTGGGTTCATCTGTCTTTGAATGCAGTTGAACTGAATGAAGAGACATCAGCGATTGAAAAGGAAGCATCCATTCTGTGTTGCTGAAGCTGAGGGCAAAGAAGCAAAATACCACCACTAACATCTAAGTACCACTACTCCTGCTACTACTATTACTACTACCGATAACAGAAACATCGAAGGTTGTAGTAGCTGCGCTAAGAACAGACCAAAAAGAGTTAAAATGAAAGCCACATATCTCCTTTTACCAAAATTATTTGAAGTATTTGTGCTTGTTTGGTTATTGTTCACATACAAGAAACATTTAACCTTGTGCAACAAGAATTATTTTTTTTTTGTGTGTTTGCTTTTATATATAAAAAAAAACTTCTGTCCTTTCAAAATCGAATCAACTTGGTTATATTTATTTTTCTGTTAACCCAGTTCTCGCCGGATGAACTTGCAGGTGGACCAACAGAGAGCTTCCGGATTTCTACAATCTGATTACCACTCTCCAGGATCAAAACAATCATAATGTGGCTGAACGGTGGCTTTGATCTGATATTGAGAACTGAAGACTTGTATCTAACCTGTTATTACAGGTTAGATACAATACTGGACCAACAGCTGATCTTGTGGAGTGTGTAGGTCCAGTGGGGTATTATGTTACAGTATTATAAGTTGCTTCTACAAAAACAACCATATCTATTGTTCCCACTGGACTGATTAAAAGACAGCAATTGATGAAAAGTATCCAGAATTGACCCACTGGAAGTGTGTCATCTTCCATCAGGACAATGCCAAATGTCATGTCTATTTACAGAACAAACAGAAATTGGTATGGCTTGGCTGGGATGTCCTACTACACCAGTTGACCTTGCATTTTCAGATTACCACTTTTTTCAATCCTTAAAAAAAATTTCTTAATTGAAAAACCTCAATTTTCTGAAAGCCTGTAAAAAAAAAAAAAACACAAAAAAACACAGACTAGTTTATTACCCAGAAGGATGCTTCCAGGGAGAATAAATTTATGAAGATGCCTCAAAGATGGCAAAAGGTAGACAAACAAAAGTGAACATATGTAGTTGGATAAATCTATATACAAATATCTAAATATTGTCTTTGAAATTCAATTAAAAATGCTAAAAACCTTCATTTCAATCCAATATTAATTTTACCTTAGATGTTTCACTCTAAAATCACAAGAACAGTGTGTGCTCTGAAATCATGGGTTTCAAGTGATTTATTTACAAGCTCAATTCAATTTTTCTAGCCTATGGAAATAACATGTGTGAGAGATCAGTACATAGATATAAGGATATGCAAGTCATATTATGTGCTCACAATAATATCTGAAACATTTTCACATGCTGGACACATGATAAAATTGAAAGCACTCAACTTGACAGAAAATATTTACTCTATAGAAGTATTAAAAACAACTGTTGTTGGATTTAGGTTGATAACTAGACTATAAGTAGGCAATCAAAGTACAACTTCTTTGTTATCTACAGAGTTTAAAAGTACACCAGATTAGCTATATCAGTTAGCTGCAGAATAAGCATTTGGACAAGGCTATCTTATGTTATCAAATTCAAAGTTAACAGACAAAAACTTAAGAATTAGATAATCAGAAATTGTAAGTAAATCACGAACAGTTTGCATCAAAGTCATTCTCAACAGGTATATAAGACAAATTGGTTTATTGGTTGTTAAAACTACACTGCTTTACTTGGGTTGTTTTTTGAAATAATAATTTATTTCTAGGCATTTTTCAATTTCAGAATACTATAGAGTTGTACTCTGGATGATACAGTTAACTGTTGTGGCTTGAGAGGCATTATTGAAGAATGGCAATCTTTCACATTTTGTACACACAAAGTCTGATGCTGGCTTGTCTGTCATAATTAAAGCATTTCATCTTTATTGCTCCACATCTAACTGCCGGGCAAGTGTTACTTCAAACTTGAAAAGGTTTTTCTCCATTGTTTACTTCCAGGATAGTCATTTGAAAAAAAATAAAACTTTTTTCTTATTTTTTTACAGTAAGTTTCATCCTGGCTAGCAATCAAGGCAGAGGATTACATTAAGAGACATTTATAGAGATAGGAGAGGAAGATAATGGTTAATTCTAGACTTGAACAGGTTAAGACTGTAGTGATTAGGGAAACATCATCTTGGGAGTTGGTTCATGGGAAGAAGTGGAACTTACTTCTCACTGATGAAGTACAGAGGGAATGTGGGTGATTTGCTACAATGTAAGTGGCATAAAAGTTCCTAACCATGAAGGTTAGACCTGGCAGAAACAACGACTATATTTCATCCAAGCATTATTCATGGAAGTAGCGATAGAGCAGTGAAAGGCTTGCCTCATCCTGCCTGTGAGAGAGAGGTTGGAGGGTAGAAAATAATTTATCACCCACACGGACTTGGAGATGCTTTTGAACTCTATCGAAACTGGAAAGTGAGGACTAGGCATCCAAATATGACAACAATACTCCATTTTGGCCTAATCCTGTTCTTGTAAAAGTAGGGGATAGCATGAGGAGTCAAGTAATTATTTGAGCAGTACAGGGAGCCAACCATTTTACCTGCATCTTTAGCAATGGATTGTATGTACTAGTTTCACTTGAAGCTAGGTGCAAGTTTGAGGCCCAATAGTTTCTCAAGGCTCAGTGCCTCCCCAAGAGGACATCTGTTCATTGTGATTGGTGGTAATTCAGGGTCCAATTGGCAATGATGGAACATAACTAGCTTGATTTTCAAGGCATTGAATGTAACCATACAGTTTTTCCTTCACTGGGAAATTAATGCTAGATCAGATGAGAGATCGGCTGCCATTTTCTGATGATTAAGAGTTTTAGAAGTGTACCTGTATATCGTTGTATCCTCAGCATAGATGTTTACAAATGATCTGAGTATATTCTTAGGCATTTATGTAAAGCAAAATGAGGGTTTGTCTGAGTAGTGACCCCTATCTTCAGGGATCTACTTGTTAGGAATGATTTTATGATTGAGAAAACCCTTTCAGTGATTCCATAGCTGGAGAGCTTGTGTAGAAAAACTTTGTGCCATACCTTGCCTTTGAAATATTTTATGCTATGATCCTCAGAGTATGTTTGTCACTAATTCTGTGTGTAATGGTAGGATTGAAACCTGTACAGTTCATCACACAAGAAGTTGCCCCTATCTAGATGCTCGACAACCATCTTGTTGATTATAGTCTCAAAAAGTTTACTGATGACACTGTGGAAACTGATGGGTCTTTACTGGGAGGGTGGAAGATCGCTTGATTGTTGAGTATTAACTGATATGATTTATCTCCCCTATTTTACAAGTGAGTAAATTTATACCTGGTGACCAACTAGAATGAGAATTGCTTTGGTTGTAAATTACTAAGCAGGGTAAATTACAAATGGTTTAGGGAAGAATGTTACAAAGTTATTATTGGGATGGATTTTACAAATAAGTGAATCTATATTTGTTGGCTAGTTAGCATGAAAATTAACTTGATAAGATGATGTAAAAAGCTTAAATTAACAAGCTGGATAATTTGGATTTTACTAGCATACCAGAAATATTCTTTTATTCATTTATGATCAATTGCTTATAAATACTAACGTCAAACGGTTTGAGGTTGCCTTTAGGCCATATGTTCCGCAGTAGTGACTGGGTATTCTTATACTGCCACCAACATCTGAACCAATGCCAAGTATTGAACCATTGCTACCAATCAATGCTGCTTCTCCTCCACTTGAACCACCAGATGACCGCTTAGGATCATATGGATTACCAGTTGCTCCATAGATGTTGTTATCACAGGCAACACTAGATTAAGGAATAAACAAAGAAAAAAAGGTCATTATTGAGATAATAAATCATTTAAATTCAAAATGGTTCCACAACTTATTCCATTCATTTCTTCTGAGCATTTTTTATATTGCAAAATTTTCAGTGATTATCTTTTTATTTATTTATTTACAATGGTGTAGCTAGTGTTTTTGCCGCCCAGAGCAATCCTCAAGTTTGCCGCCCCTCCCCAGCAGAAATACAATATTACAATGTACATTAACTCCTTAAAGTTATATATATATATATATATATATATATATATATATAGTCAATGATGAAATTATTTGTACAACCATCAATTTTTAATATTTTTATCATTTCTCAGAATGATTCCAATTTTTTTTCTATGTTTCTGTTAATGTGGTATTTATAACTTCACTGATAAATTATGAAATAAAGGTACAATTGTGTTTATTTATTTTGAAAAAAAATAAAACTGGGGATATGTAAAAAAAAAAAAAAATGATGACGTTTACTTCTTTTTTATAAATCAGGAAAACTTTAAAACCTTTTTATGCTTTTAAAAGAAAAATAACTTCTTTTGTTTATATACTCTGTTTTATTTAAAAAGAAAAAGAAAAAAAACACATTGAACTTTTAATTCATAATTTTTCAGTTTTTTAATAAATATTAAAAATTTAAATATTTAAAATATTAAATTTCATTTCTAACAAGTGAGGAGTCATAAATTAAAAATATCATATTAACAGAAACACATTTTGTTTTCCTTTTATGTTGAAAATGTAAAAAAGTGCAATGTCTTTTTAAATTACTTTGTTTTAAATAGTTATTATTAGTGAAGTAGTAGACTAAGAATTAAAAGTCTGATAAAATTAATTTCACTTTTAAAAACTGAAATAAATGTTATCATACTTTTAATTCTTAGTCTATTTTGCTTAATAAAAATCAACTATCTAAACAAAAAATAAAACATTGCATTGTTTTACTACTGTAACTTGTAAATTAAAAAATTGAAAAAAAAATGCCCATTTTTGGATTTTAAATAAAGTTTCTGCACTTAAAAAGAAATATTGACTTTCAATTTTCTTTTAAATTTCCATGTGATTTTTCTGGAAAAAATTGGAATTATTTCAATTTATTTATCTATTTTATAATTTATGAGAAGTAAGAATTTTATATCCGTATTAAATCTAGGCCTATGATAAGATAAAAAAAATAATAATTGGTTCACTTATTTATTTCACTAACTGTTCACAGATATGAAAAATCAAAATCAAAATCAAAGAACTGAGGCCAAAGTCTGGACTTCTCACATAGGTGTGAAAAAATTGTGGATTCACTAAATTCATTTAATCGAACCCTACATCAAGCCCTTTAAAAATGTTCAAAATTTTCCCCCCTTTTGCTCATGTCTTGTAAGTGGGGTTTATCCCCACCAGCTGACAGTGCATTTTGGAGGCAATTTTTTTTTTTTTATTGTTGGCTGGCAGGCAGGCTTTGGGTCAGCCATATCAAAGACAAATTGGCTTCATTTGAACCCTATCTTCTCGCTAGCCTCTTGTGGAGTGAGCGTCATCCGCGCAAGCATCGGCGATGGGCTTGCAGTAGCTGTACAAGCCCTGGTCGTGGACGGAGGGCTGCTCCTGGGAATGGACATCATCAATAAATTGGGTGGCGTCCATGTTGACAAAGAGGGTCGGGCGCGTTTCACTGAAACAGGTATTGCTCTAGGTGCAGCAATTGAGCTGGAACGACCTGACTTTTCGCATGGCGGAGTTCGACCAGCGCAAAAGTCCTGGACGGTATCCTGAAATGGTCGACGATCAACCGCCAGAGAAGCTGTACAACAGTGTCCCGAGTATAAAATCCCCCGCGAGCTCATGCGGATACGACAAATAGTTGAGTTTAAACTGGATTAATAACGGATGGTTGGTTCCTTATCCAGAGAAGGAATTGGGGCCCCAAAGGGCCTTATCCCGCTAATGGCGGTTCTCCAGCACAACAAACAAAAGGTGTGGCCAGTGCTCAACTATCGATAACTGAACGAGCACGTGGACCCTTTTACAGCCCACAAAGTTACGTGTGTACTGAGAAGCTAAGGAATGGCGACAAGCGGGATCAAATGTATCTGTGCTGGATCTTCGCAAGGCATACCTTCAAGTTTTGCGTGCACCAATCACTGTGGCCCTATCAAACTGTGCTTATCAAGGGGCAAAGGTATTGCCTGACCCGTGTGGGGTTTGGACTCAATGTGGCGCCATCGATTATGCAGATGATTGTTGACGCCATTCTGACGGAAGGATGAGCGCATACAGCAGGCAACATCTGCATATATTGATGACGTACGTGAACGAGGAAGTCATATCTGCGCCGCGTGAAGGAGCATCTCTACAACTTTGGCCTCCTCAGCAAGGAACTGGAGAGGCTACAGGATGGTGCACGGGTGCTTGGTTTTGCAGGTCTGGGGAGAAGATGATGTTCTGTATTGGAAACGGGGAAACGAACTCCCAGACATGCCCCCGCTGTCACGCCGGAAAGCATATTTTCCTTGTGCGGCAAGTTAGTTGGGTACCTTCCTGTAGGTGGCTGGCTGCGTGTTGCGGTGGCGTTTATCAAGCGGAGAGCATCTGATGTCACCACTGGATGGGATGACGAAGTTCATGACATCCCTCTCAACACCATGATGAGGGAGGTCCTCCCTAAGAGTACGCAAGGAAGACCCAGTGCGGGACAGATGGTGCGTTGACAGCCAAGACCTCAGTGTGTGGGTTGACGCAAGCTCTCTTGCAACCGCATATCGATAGTTCACGATGGAGCCGTGGTGGAAGATGCTTGCTGGTTACATCCAGAAAGGGACTCCCAGCACATAAACCTAGCGGAGCTCGATGCTGTCATCAAGGGGATCAACTTGGCGATCCTCTGGAAGTCGACCACCCAGTGTCTGTTCACTGATTCCACTTGCGTTTATAAGTGGATCTCGGATACCCTTACCGGGAGGGCCAGGGTGCGGACTAAAGCCACCAGCGAGATGCTTATCCAACGACGGCTCGACAAGATCGTGAAGCTAGTGCAAGAGTACGCACTGACAATGGAGGTGTCCCTAGTCAAATCTAGCCTCAACAAGGCAGATTGTTTAACGAGGGTGCCCCACAGGTGGCTTGACGCCGCTAAGAAAGCTATTGAGCCCGTGCAACCCGCCTGCGCTGCGTCCATGAGTCCCGTTCGATTTAATCGAATCAAAGAAGTCCACCAACAAAGCGGGCACCCTGGAGTCAAGCGGACACTGTATTTCGCCAAGTTGGTTGACCCAGGAGTACAAAAGACAGACCCGCACAGCAAGTGCACAACAAAATACGGAACCGGACGCATCACTGATATGATCAGCCCACAGGCGGTACAGGTTGACGGTGTGCCCCGTCACGTTAAGGACCTGCGTCTGGTGACACAGTTGCAACCACCGCTGGACGATGAGAGCGAATCGGAATCTGAGACCAGTGAGGCATCACTCTGGTTCACGCCAGCTCCATCAGGCAGTGACTCAGATATCAGTAGCCTTGTTTTTCGACTCTCAGACCTCAGACAGGAGCACAAGCAATGATGAGGCTCACAGCGTCCCTCTTCGAAGAAGCACCCGGCGAAAGCGATCGCTGCCTCCCTGTCAACTCTGTGATCATGAGATCAGGGGGGAGTGTGGGGAAAATAGAAATGGTTTACCTCCCAAACGCCCTCGCCTGTCTGGCCTGTGGGTTGAGAAAGGAAAGAAAAGATCCAAGATGGCGTCCGTGACTTTTTCTAATATTCACGGTCTCGTGCAGTCACATAAAAGCGTTATTCACACACATGCTAATGAGGTGTGTCTGAGCTCCATAAAAGCAAGTTGCTTGGAGAAATTGGCAGAGGGCATTACACCCGTGTTTGGTGTACATTGCTTTATTTAAATGCAGCGCCGGACATTTTTCAGGCGGAAAGAGTTGCATCCCTTACACTGTTGAATTCGACTCCTTTGCTACATACATAAAAATGGATTTTAAAAGTAAAATTTACCTAGTGAAACGGCATCAATTATTACTGCTTTCAATAATAAGTAATAGGTTTTTAAAATAAATACATACCTTAAAAGAGTTTGAGGAACATTGGTCCTCACAAATGGTACAGCACCAAGATTTTTGAGCATCTGTAAAAATTATTATAGACACTTAATTATTTGCTAGTATAGAAAAAATATTTAGTACTTTCTATAACAATTGTAGAACTTATAGAAAATAATATTTCCAAAATTATTTAAAGCAACAGTAATAATTAGCATATCATTTAATGAATTAAATAAATTTTATAAATTTCAGTTTATTTTTATTTTTTTGTAAGGTAGGTCTCACTATAAAATCTTCAAAATTTGAGTATTTTTTCAGTGTTATTTTCATCTTTTAAGAATCATTTCTGTATATATCCTTTCAAAACCTGCTTCCTCTTCAGTTCTTGTATTTACTGTCTCTTGGAATCATTTGTAGAATTTGTTTCTCTATCGACCATTTATTTTTGGCACAGGTTGCAAGTAAATAACATAGCAGTAATTTTCCTCTCATTTTGTTATGTATTAGGGAATGAACATAGTAACAGAATGTTTTTTACAATACTTGTAGTGACATGAGGAGCAGAAACAGGAAGTTACTTCTTTCATAGCTTAAAACATAATGAAATATTTCAAGCTTTGTGCAACAGCCTCCACGCATAACTTCCAGTTAAAGTTGATTAAATACAATCTTAAATAAATATATGCTGACCAATAAGAAATGAGTGCACCTGAAATTATGATAGAAAGCAATGGTCACCCTTGAAATACTAATAATTATAGTAATATAGAATTTTGTTTATAAATGAGAAAAATAATCTGTGGTGAAGTTTGTGCTCAGAGAATCTGTGCTTTGCCAGAATTATTAATATAAAATGTTAAAACAATAGTGTTTATATGAACTACGGAATACCAATTGAGAATAAGCCATTTAATCATGAAGGGGGAGAGGTCAGTAATCAGGTTGTATTCTAAGTTTATCAATACCCCAGATTTTATCGCTACCACAACGTTTTTAAATAAACACACGTGTTTGTGCAAAAACAAACAGTTAAAATTGAAGTTGGAATTGGAGCTGGGTGAAGTTAGTTGACAAGCAATCAAACAGAGAGAGAGAGATAGGCAGTGAGAGTGAAAGCATTCACTTGCTGCTGTAATAAGGTAGGAAGTGAGCTCAAGTTACCTGCGATATTGGCGCAATTCTGCCAGTAAAACCCCCTTATATTCTGATAGTGAAATAATTATGGCAACTACTAAGAACAAAAAGGGTGAACCCGAAACCTACTTCTCTCCTTTCAGAATTATTTGCAATATTTGTTTTTTTTTCTGGACTTGATTTCATATACACTACTTTCTTGTAAAAAAGCAGCATTATTCTTTTGTACCAATTTCTTCCTTATATACATAAATTTTTCTTTGACCTCAATGTTACTTTGTTCATATTTGATTTTTCTGCTTGGCCTGATTCTTGCCCCTATGAACTTGCAGGTAGATTAGCTGAATCTTCTGGGATCTATGATTTGTTAATTGCTCTCCAGGATCAAAAAAAATCACAACATGGGTGGAAAGTGGAATCAAATCAGCATTGTGAACTGGAGACTTTGATTGAACCTGTAATACTGGACCAGGACAGAACCAACAGACTGTCTTGTAGAGTGCATCGTTCCAGTGGGGTCAGGATAGGTGTTACAAAATAATCAACAACTTAATTGAAGACTCTTTCAACTTCACTAACAATATAAATAAACCCCTGTCTAAAAGAAGATAAAGAGATTCCAACAGGAGACACACAGAGAAGACACAGAGAGATGAACACTTACAACTGTGAGCAGATATATCAAAGACATCTCGGCTTCAAAAAACTACTACCACTCCTAACATCTCGTTATTTTCACTCCTTTTACTTCTCTCATACATTCTACCTCCTTTTTCTTATTCACAGGACATATTACCAAATTAAACTAGCGTCCCCCAAAAATACTACCTTTACAAACTCTTGTATTCATTGAAATGTAATAAAAAAAATTTTTTATTTAATCTTACTTAAATAACAACCTTGTGCCATCTATTACTACTGTTTTTGTACAATCACTTATTAATGTTTATATAAATTATTGTTATACTCCAGACTTGACTGTTCTTAAGATGAGATTTATCGTGTTTTATTTACTCATTCATACATCCCTTATAGTGGGCTAATCCAAATCGAACCCCACAAATAACCCACTATATACTAAACAGACAAGTAAGCTAATCAGAGAAGACAGCAAGAATCTGAATTATTCTGATTTTTAATAAGTGATCATAATTTATATAGCTGTAAATATCAAATAAACAGCTAGTAAGTTTATATCATTTAAGACAAGTAAGACTGTATCAATAAAAACTCACTTTGACCAGAAGTGAATCTTCTTCAATGACTTCATTTAAAAGACATTTAGCAACACCACAGGTAACACGATGACCCTGGGAAAAAAAAATGAATTTATTAAAAATAAAAGACAAAAGAATATTTTGGGCAAAATGAGATTTTTCTGTTTGCATTACTTTCTGTAATACAAAAAATAGTTTTACTAAATTGTTTAAGAAATTTTTATACTGAAGGACTAATAAGTTTTAAATAAAATATTTTTCCTAAATATTTATTTTATAGCATTAAAATAGAAATAAAATATTTTTATATAATGAACATTGAAATGATTGATTCACCTATGATTTTATTAAAAATACATAAATAAATCATGCAACGTTTAATAATAATATGGAAAATCCATGCTTAAAATGTGATGTTACAAGACTAAAGTGATTATTCAAATTTTTATTTAATGCAACAGAAAGCAAATATCCAATAATCATTCTTTTATATTCCATGCTAATAGGAATATATAGTTGGCAAACATGGTGGACAAAATAAGTACAGGTTTATTGTAAAAACCAGTACAATAAGAATAAAAGTAACAGTTATGAAACATATCCAGTTATTCTTGATCAAATGGCATTTTTAATATATTTTCAACAACTGGGGATAAACAAATTAAGTAAAAAGTAAAATTTTTGTCAACCTCCAAAGATATGAAAGGTAATTTTGTCAACCTCCAAAGATATGAAAGGTAATTTTGTCAACCTCCAAAGATATGAAAGAACACAAAATAAGTTGGTTAAAGGATTTGGTCATCAACTTGCAATGTTGATAATTTTGAACCAAAGCCATCACAAATAAAAAGCATAGCAACCATGCAGTTTGTGTTTTTAATTATAGTTAGGTATATTAGTCTTAACTTATTACAAAGCTACAACTATTGAGAAAATCTTAAGCAAGAGACTTGTTAGTGATATCCAATAGTTAGATAATTAACAACTATACTTAATAATCAAAATAAATAATTATTTTTTATAGATCAGAAAGTAAAGAAAATGTATCTGTATGAATCAATCAGAAAATAATTTTAACTTTGAAAAAATATTTACCAAGCATGAAAATGTTTTAGTTAAAATATAATAATGATTAATCAAACTCAGAGAAACAATAATTTTGGTAATAAGTGAAAGTTTTATTCTATGACTTTTCAAGATATTTATAATCTTAACTTTCCCACACAATACTTGCTTTACTTCATGAAATATGAACAAAAGAAATTATGTTAACATGCTAAAAGTCATCTTCAAAATCTTTAGTGCTGGTTCTTTGGTTGACTTTGGAAATTCAAACAAGCAACAATTTTTGAAAAAATATATTTGACACTATTTTCAATGATCTTTTTTTTATATTGAAATGTGCATTTCAGAAACTAATAATATTTGTTAAAGAATCTCTGGAAGAATCTTTTTTCTGTTTAATGTTTGACAACATTAAAAAGGAAAAACATTAACGGAAAGAGAGAGGAACTTTTAAATCACCACAATGAGGGTGGGCTGAAAAGTTAATAGGCTGACTATGAAAGAGTGATGTTAGAGTGGTGAAATAGTATTATATATTATAAGAGTTGAAATTAATGCATGCAAGATTTCACTTCTCTATCATCATTCCTTCATAGTCAGCCTATCAACTTTTCAGCCAACGCTTGTATAGAAAATTAAAAAATCTCCATAAAAGATATTAAAATGTATCATCAAATATTTCTTTCTCTTTGGGACATTCTTTTCATGTAACATATCTTGCTGCATAAAAAATGACATTTTAATACCACTAGGGATATTAGTTTCTAGGTCTGGTAAATAATCAAATTTTGACATGCCACTTTATCCAACATTTTCATCAATTATGTCCAGGATCTATTATAGTCTTTAATATCAACTTTCAATTGAAGAAGTAATTTAGTTTTTTCAATATGAAATTTCTTAATATTTTGTCTCATAATAAAGACATTTACCTCTGTTGAATTGGATGAGATGCCTAATTACCAATATTGTACCATGTCCCTGCAGACCTATCTGTTATGCCCATTAGCAGCATTCTGCCTTTACCAAGCTTTCTGCTCCCTGTTCTGCCATCCATTCACACAACCTTGTGAAGTAGATGGCCCACTGCCTTTCTCTATCTCTTTTGCCTTCAATATGCCCTGTGTGAATTAAGCTTTCCAAACTCTCCTTCCTCATTATGTGCCCAAGAAATTTCAGCTATCCCTTTCTGATTCTGAGTATAAGCATTCTGTTTGTTCCAGTTTTCTTTAAGACTTCCTTATTGATAACTCACGATGTCTGTGGAATTCTCAGTATCATTCTGTAGAACAACATTTCTGTTGCCTTCAGTTTCTTCTTCATGTGGTGAGATTGTCCAGCAATCATTGCAATGCAAGAGGCTTTGATATCACATAGCAGTTCAGTACTTTTTTCTTTGTTTCTAATAAAAAATTTTTTCTTTAGTTTTTAGAATGCATTTTTTGCTAATCTGATAGGTGTTCAAGATTTCAGTGTCACACTTCCATTTTTATATATCCTAACTTGTGTACTTGTTTAATGTTGATATCATCCCAAAGACACAAGCATTTTTGTTAGCACATTTGAGGAAGTGTGGGTGATGATACCAGAGACATGACAGGGGAGGAAGATTTTCTGTTTATGTGGGGTGCTTTTTCAAGAGGTCATTGTTGAAGGGTTAGGAGTAAGTGACCTAGTCAGTGGAAGAGGGGCAATGGCTTTTTTTGGATATTGCGTCAGAGTCAGAGGAGCCTGTCACCCCCACTGGCCTAGATTGTTTTTCCTTTTTGGTTTCCATGTATAGTTTCTATTTTTGTATTTTCTTTGTCTTTTCCTATGTCAGGTCATATTTACGTCTATGTTCTGTTAATTTTTCAGCATAGCTTGCCAGGGTCTCAAACTTGGGAATGGGATTATTAGTGCCTTTGTTCTTGGGGGCTTAAGCGGAAGAGGTCTCACAGTCTTCTCCTTCTCTCTTACTCTACCCATGATCAGGCTCTTCCAATTAGCCCAAAATGGTAGGTGAAGGAGTCTGCATTACCACTACAGATGCCAAGGAAATAGTCATGTCATTTTAAGATGTATTTTGATATTGTTGGGGTGGAATTCTAGAGGCCTTCTTCTCTGGGCAGTTTCATAGCAATTATGTTAACTATGTATTTCTGCCCACCTACATGAAAGCTGTTGGGAATGGAGAGGAACACTTTATGCTATGAGGAAACACCTACAATTTGGCCAAATTGCACCAAATATACACCAAGTTGCTTTTCAATTAAATTAGGGACCTCATATACTGTTACAACGGTTTGCTTAACCCCCAAGGAAATCAGTGATTTCATCACTGTGACAAATTTTGCACAGATACTTGTCCAATGCAAAGCCCAACACTGTTCTTTTCTCAACACACATTTGATTCGAGGTAAACTAAGAGTCTGCCATCTTTAATAAGATAAATATACAGTTTAGTTCACTCAACAAACTCCACTAAATTCAGGGAATATCAAACAATCCAGCACAACCTGCAAACAGTTTGCTAGAGCTTTGACCAAAATCTTTAACCCTAATTAAGCATTGTTATAGGCAAAAAATTACTGATCTTATGTCCTCCATGACTGTTCTTCAAAGCTTTATCACACACCTGGTGAAACATTGGAGAGTCGTCTCCTTTTACACCCAGTAGATGAAGAGCAGTTCTAGCAAGGGAACAAACATGTGTGACAACTTTGTAGAACAATCCATTGATAACTGGTGTCCTTTACTTCCCAACCTTCAATGCTATCCAGATTTCATCCTTTCTGTTATTTGATCATTGCAAATAGTCACTTTAAGGCAAGGAAAGTCAGTAAATACTTGACAAACTGGACCGAATTCAGACCAGGCTCCTTGGTGAAAAGATTTTGGAAGTAATCCTAAAATGCCCCACATATACCCTTGTCTGTTGTCAAGGTTCACCTATCCAGCAATGTGGCCACAACTTGAGCTTTACTCTTCTTAAGAAAGAAGACCAGCTCAGTTTTAGTTATGATTACCTTACCACTATCTTCTGATTTAACAGTATCTTCTGCTCAATATTCTAGTGTCTTTTGTGTCACTAATCTATCTAAGTTCAGTTGTCTGCTATAATTGTCAGCAAAAGACCTAATGGTACCTGTAAAGTGACCCCTACCACTTATTTCCAAACACAGAACCCATCAGTTCCTACTGTATGGTTAGTATCAGCTGGTACTGAAAATCCTACATTGTCAGATCTGGGCTCCAACAGAGACTCAGGTGCCACTGTCTTGGACTTTTTTCCTTTTCTTACTACTTACCATCTCTTCTTCTGAATCTTTTTTGGAGTTAGAGATGCTAGTAGAGAGTGGAAGCTGATTTATTCCTCGGTTGGTCCCATTTCTTGAGGTAAAGTTTACTAAAGACTTCTTCTATGATGTTATGGCATGTGCAAGAAGCCTTCTGATACTCTTTCTATTCAATTCTTCACAGGGCAGACTGTAGAGAAATGACCAGTTTCACCACTTTGCCAGTATGCTTGTTTCCTCCCAAAAACAATGAACGGTACCTTCTGGCCATCCAAATTTTTCCAGGTGGGAATGTTGTTAATAGCTTTCTGGTTTAACATGAGATTAAAACACTATTCTTCTATCTTTCTGTCGAGTTTGATTTCCACTATTTCACCATATTGTTGAAAGAAAGCTCCATTGTTAAATATGGGACTTTGTAAATGGCCACTTGTGCTCTTCTTCATCTTTCGTATTCCAATTTTATGGTGCGCTCTATATTCTGAAGATCCTTTTTGTGAGGGTTACACAATCTTCAGGCATGGGTAGAAATATGTGTCACATTGAGAAGTCTTTTCCTTTCACAATGTGTTGAACATGTACTCCGAGATCAGATAATGGCTTGATAATGAATTCCTTTGTTGATTTAATGATCTGGTTTTGCTTCTTATCTACTATGATGACTAACACTAATTATCTTATCCACAGCTTTCAGCTAAGATATATCTACAATTAGTCTCTTCAGCTTCACAAAGTGGGCATATTCAAGCACTTGTTTGAAAAAGTCAACATCAGTGATGCAAGGGGGTTGTGTGTTTACGTAGATAGAGAGGTCCCAGATGTCACTCCATGCTTTTCCTTGTTTGTCTTTTCCATCTTAGGTTGTTGTTTTTTTTAGACCTACCATTTTGGGGGTTCTTTTCCAGGTCATTTCCTTCCTTTGCTCCTTTCTCAGGTGTTCTGAGTAGGGTTTTTACTATCTTGTCAATGATTTCCTCGTTCCTTTGGACAAGGCAAGACTAAACATGTTAGAGCAGGGATGTGTAGTTCAGTCAATAAAAGACTTTTTCTTCCAACAGATCAATCTACATATGGTTCAAACACCTGGCAATAACAATGTTAGGAATAACAAAAAAGCAATGCAAAGTAAACAAAGCCCACAATAATAAGAAGAATCAATACAAGTCAAGGAAAAAAAAAGGTAATCACAGAAAAATGAATTTATAGATAAATCCTACAGATACATGATGGGGTTTCTTTTTAGTCAATAAAAATGAACAATTCTTAGTCTTACTCACAGATTCTTTTCTTTCTTGCCTTGAAGTCTGTATACCGTTTGCATATGGTCATTTTACTGTCTCATAATTGCTTTACTTTGCTATGGTCTTATTGTTTGCCATTTGTTCATTTCTTGTATTATTTTGCTCTGTTACTATTTTTCTTATTGCTGTTAATGCTATTGGGAATTTGAGTAATTCCATTTAAAAATGCCCACTTATTGATGTTCAAGACTTTAATTTTATTGGCTTTACCTTAATGGGTATGTTTTCCTTTAAACTGATAGGAATTCCATGCAAAGGTCCTAATATTTTTTCTGAGGAATCACATGCCTTGGCTAATTCCTGAAAGTTAAATGAAATAAAACATTTCTTCATTAGTTAACAACAATATAAAAATTCATAAGTCCAAAAGCTTTGTTTTCAATATAAGCTGAAAATGATGTTGTAATAGTCAAAATGAGTACTAGTATCCCCTGTATACACAAGAAGTAATTTATGGGTAAATGCTGAAACTATTTCACTTGTTGAATTCTTTATTTCAGTGTGATGATACACATGCAACTTAAAACATTTCATGAAATTTGCTACATTTGACCAAATATTACCAAGAAATCAACATATTTTTAAAAAACTTTAATATTAGCAAAAATATGAAAGTGCTACCATTTCATCACTTAACTGAAAATAGCGATAACAAAAATATCAGTATATGACTATCAAATTTTCAAACTAGTAAATATTGAATAGATGTGCAGTTAATTTTGTTGATAAAAATTTTGTGGTCATAATTTTCTTCAAAAAGTTGTTTACCATAAGAACAATTTTATAATAGAGAAGTATAAGCAGCATCAGTAAGAAATTTATAGAATTAAACAATGTATTATTTTTTCTATGAGTAACAGAAAGTGATTGAACAGTTCTATTTAGTTCATCAGTGAACTATCTAACCTGATAGAACTGTAACTTCTGTGTTTTCATTGTTAGACACAAAAACTCCAAAACCACTATTTAATTATCAGTTGATAAATCATTTTAATTTTTACGGATCACTTGAGAACTTAACCAGCCAACAATATTAAATATCAAAAGGTGAGCATTTTATATTTGGTACCTGTGGTAATCATGGGACATGAACATGATTTTTGGAGCCAGAAAGATGGGACACTCTAAGGTAACAAATTCTATAGATATTTCTCAGGCAACAATAGCTAGAATACACAAGGAATATATGAATTCCAGACAGACATCAGCAGCCATTAGCATATAAAAACCATAGGCATTCACAGGTGATGCAAAAGTAGGATTTCTGGTAACTGTAAAGGATGGTAACATCCCAATGAAGAGGAGGAACAAAATCACATCCCAATTCAATGTTGGTACTATTCAACCTATCAGTCAATGCACAGTATATTTTACTGCTTACCATGAGGTTTCCTATTTGTTGATTACCAAGAGTATCATTATTGATATAATGACCTCTGTTACTTAGCCTCACATGAGTCAGAGAACATCACGAATAGATTGTGGAAAGTTGTGGCTGTATTGCTTAGATTGACAAGTCAAATTTTTAGATTTATTTAGGTAAACAGTTAATTTTATATGTTGAAGAGATAGCAGAATGTTGTGCAGGCTGATGGTAGCTCTCTAATGTTATAGGTTGAAGTAAAAACCACTAGTTGAATTGGTGTCTCTTGAAAGTTATGACATACACAGATCTTGCAGACCAACTGCACATAGTTTCTCCAGTAATGATGGTTTGTTCCAACAAGATAATGAAACTCCCCATTGAACTTGAGTGATACAAAACTGATCCCAAGAATAATGAATGCTTTCCCGTTACCCCATTATCTTCTGTGCATACCAAACTTAAACACTGCTGTGGATAGTAATGCCTTCCACCAGGTATTTTCAGTACTCATGTGACACTGTAGATCAAGCAATATCAAATAGCTCTAAATTTCAGGAATGGATGTCCCCTGCTGTCTGGCACATACTATCATGCTTCATACAACCTCCAATAATTCATGTTACTTGCTATGAACACTGACTCACAAGTTGTCAAACTCACTGACTTGAGGTCTGGGTATTTCTATAATGTCATGGTAAAATGACACTCCCTACCATTGCTTTACATATTGCTATCCTATGACCTGGCGTATAAGTGTGCTTGTGATCTGTTATAAAAATAAATAACTTTCATAATCTGCCTGGTGAACCTATTCAATTGTGATTCTACAGATTTACTCATGTAAACTGAACATTATGCTTTTAATACTCGAACTAAAAAATGTTTTCCTACTGGTAATTTCATAAATTTTAAATCTTTATATTTTTAACACAGCCACCATTATTCTGGAAAGGGGGTGATCTACATGTTATTAGATAGCTGAGTCTAATTTCTTGGCACTTTACATTTATGAAGTAAAACAGGTGGGACAAATCTAAATTATGTCAACAGAACAATGAAAAGGCCTGTAGATATAAAAGTTAAATATTAAAGCGGTTGTCATCTGTCCAGTCAAAGGTATCATCACTCCACTATTTTGTGGAACAGGTTTTAAACAAATTATTGCACCCCAACCCCAATCAAATCAAATCTCCATTGGCTAAAAGAACAGAAAAGCTTCAGGAGCAAAAGGAAAAACTGACCTGGGGAGTTATAGATTCACTCAGACCATATTTTCTAGATACATGAAATAATTATCAAACCAGTCATCACCAATCCTACTACTCATTCACAGAAACAAGATTGCTACATGAAATTTCAGGGCCTTAAACACCATGAGGAGGTTGAAAACACATGTGCCCAGTGTCTGCATTTTTGACAACTAGATAGAGAAAAAAATTATTTTTTTTAATAAAAACAAAATTGGCATCTTTTGCACACCTAATACTTTAGTAACAGAAAGGATTGATAATAAACAATATTAGAATATTATGATGGAGTGCTACCCAGTCTTCTGGTGATGCAATATTATTCCAGCCATTTCAAAATCAGCATCATACAAATTTATGCTGCAATGTCGAACTACAAAGATGACCAAATTCTCTAACTGCAAGATGTCTTTGATTAAATATTTAAAAGGGTTATATTAATAGTGCTTAGAGCCTGGAATAAGAGTGTGACACAATGGGTTCCCCATATGACCAACTGAACACATATGAAGTAAAGTCAGCCCTAAATGATGCTTTCAGAATCAGAAGTGTCAGCTTTTTTAATGGCTGGAAGACAAAATCTTTGAAGTTGAGTGTGGCAACCCACTGGAGCAAAAAGAAAGAAAATAATAAAGAAATAAATAGAAAAGATCAAGTGGCATTTGGTAAGAAACCAGATGTTTCCACTTGCAGCCTTACATAAGTAGGGTCCTGGCTGGACAGAGGGAGGAGCTGTTCATCTAACCAATCAGGTCAGTAGCAATTGCTCAGCTGAAGCAAGAAGAACCAAAAGAACCTAGTGCCTCCTGCTATGTCCACCCAAGGAACCTCATTGAAATAAACACCAAATTATTGCGAACCGGATGAGTGACTTCATTTCTTGCTGTTGATATCATCTTCAGTTTCTTGTGAATTTATTGCAAATCTTTTCCAGTCTTTGTACACATCAGCATAAACAAGAAGTGAAACAATGTGGAGATTGATTTGTCCAGTCAGTAAAAGACTGAGAGTGGGAGCCCATTGTATTTTCACAGCAGCACAACAAAGAACTAACAGCTGTAGAAAATAGTATAATATGGAAACAAAAGGAAACTGACTTGCTGAATTTGCTAGCTTGAATTACTTTTTATTGCATCCAGAAGGTTGACATGGCATAATCTATTAAATATCATAAACAGACTGGGTCTATTTGGATACAGAATTATTACTTTTCATGTATCAACATCACAGACTATGAGTCTTCCAGAAAAGACATCAGTATTTACTGATAAAGAATGTTTATCTACTTAACATAAATAAGGGAATACTGTATTCCAAGCAAAAGGCAGAAAGAAAATTTATGCAATTAACCATCCTTAGCAATGATTATACTGACATGCACACAATGATATTGAGCTTCAATTCAGTAATGACATAAATAACATGTGAGTTTTTAGAAAAGTATTGATAGATAAAGAAACCTCATCTCTCTACTAAAATATGAAGAATAAGATGAGCAATACTAAAAAAAAAAAAGTACATAAAAATAAACATGGGACTCAAGGAGGAGCATGACAAAAACAAAAGGAAAACTGGATAGAAGTGCAGTATCGGTGAGGATAGTTTGCAAAAGAAGTTAAAAGCATTCATAACAAAATATATATTGTGTTATATTCATATAGCACAATTACCTGACTTTTTTGAAACCATCTTCTAGGAAAAGGAAGTGGATAGAAGATTATGTGGGAACCTCAAAGAATTGAGAGAAGACTTAAACTTTTAGCATCTTCTAAGGATGTTAGAAAATTGTCAACACTTGACAATCTGGGTTAATTCAAAATATAACATTTCATACCTCGGCTTCCAAGATTGGTTGTACAATGCAGTTCACCCTTTCATGAGTTTCAAGAGCCTAGAACAAAAACAGATAAAAAATATTTGTGCAGAAAAAAGGCAATTCTAAGGAGCTTAACGAAAATTGTATTTGTATACTTCTTAATATCACTTTATATAAGAGTCAATGGGCATATATTTGTTAATATAATGTAAGATAATATGGATTGACTTGAGCAAAGTTTTTATGTATAGCTTATCATGCTTGTATTATTAAACACTGACAGATGAGCTGGTTGCCAGTCACTTACATAAACTGAAGTGTCAAAAGGAACAGAATTATTCTGGATGGTTCCTCCTGCTGTATTTATAGAAGAACTGCAGTCCCCTTTGAGTGATACAACAACAAGACTATCAGAAACTAACATACTTGGTAACAACACAACAAATAGGAACACTGCACTAAATCACATCTCAATACAACACTGGCACCACACAAACCATCAGTCAATCAATGCATTGTAAAACATACATTGCATTCCATGGGATTTCATTGTAATTGACCACCAAGGAGAGGTACCATTATTACAGAATCTGTTACCATCCTTCACCTATCACTAGAAGACTGTCACAGTCAGACAAGTCACATTTCCATCTCTTTTGGGTAGACAGGCTTGAAGGCCATGTGTGTTGGAGGTCACAAGAAGCTACAGATCCATCATATTGCATATATGATGGATCTATATGGATGGAGCTGGTAGTGACTATTAATATGGAGTATGTTAAAATTCACAAGCACCATTAATGAAACTGTGGAGTTAGTCTTGAAAAATATGACATACATATTTTGTTGCAGATAATTTGCACCCTTTTATGCATACTATTTCCTGATAGTGATGGTTTTTTTCAACAAATTAACAACTCTGAGCTGTACACAGGAGACATAATACTGGTTCCAGGACACTCAGCTGGCTTTCAGTTATTCTATTGTCTCTTGTGCACATTTAAACCCTGGGGACATGTTGTAGCAGCTACATCCAATAAACACAACTCAGTTATGAAAGATTTAAAATATATCTGTATAAATATACCCATGCAGTAACTAGAATACCTAAGCCATGTCAAATAATTTGTAAACTTCAAATAAAGACACTTTAGTTTTAAATCAAGTATATGCATTTATGCCAAACGTAACTAAAATAAATAAAACAAATATCATCATTTATTAATTTCTTCTCTACTATTCATCAACCCTGTATCTACAACAATATGTATTGCCCAATTTTATTTAGCAGAAAATTTTATACAAATTTGGTGAGTTTAAAGACAAATGGCAAACAGGATACCAGTGAGTTAGAACTATAAAATGAAAATCCACATATAACTAAAGCCTATGAAATAAAAATATGTATAATGTTACACTTTAACTTTGATACCAAATATTTCCTCTCACTAAACTTTAAAAACTGATACGTGACCAATTGCATAACTTATAAGATAAGGATAGTAATTCTTTTTTTGGTAAAAATTTACTTAATTCTTGATTCATTTTATCATTCATTTGCAAAAAATGCTTCTCAGAATCAAAGTAATGCTAGATTTTATTGTGTAAGTCTAAGGATACAATACATGTCTCATGTTTTCATGTATAGTATGTCCTTGAGCAGAGTAAACCTAGCAGAGCCCATCCCTTTTTTATGTCAGGTCACAGCCAATATCCCTCTGATTTAAAGGTTTACCTTGGTCAAAGACAGAGTTGTTGATTCCATTAGAGGAACTCTTTATCCTGGCTGATAACTTCAACCCAGTGATGCCATGTTATTACTGCTCTGAACATAAAATAATCATGGTACTGACAATAATAGGCACTGCCTTATGGGTGAGGTTTATTGCTTTAAATTTTCAAATGGCAGCAAATTTGTGGTTTTATATTTGTGGTTATGCTGTAACGGCTTTATGCAGTAAAGGCAGATTTTATTTTCTCAAAATTTTCCATGTTAACAGACTTTAGTTGTAAAGTAAGACACTGTCAAAAGGAATCTGACATTTTATTTTCATTGCCTATATCCAATTGTCAGCCATCTTTCAATATGCTAGCGACATATGCAAAAAACCTTTAAAAGTTTTATTTGTAAAATTAATAAAACATTTATATTTAATTTTATTTTCAACACAGTCATTGGCTTTTTCTTTAAATGTGAAAAAGTGTTGTGAAATTGTTTAAAAGTTGAGACTAACAAAAATACATGTAAATATAAGTAGACCATTTTTAAGATGTGAAATTATAATGATTTACTCATTAGTTGTTATAGTAACAATGTTTCTCCATCTTTCTTCAAATGTCTTGTCAAAATTGGTAACATTCCTGGCATTTCAAACTGAATCCTTTATTCACTCCATAGGGAGGATTGTTCTTATTCCAGAGCATATCTTATATCAGATAATTCTTTCTTGTGATGTTACTTGTATCTTCCAGAGAATATGACATTTTTGCTTCTCTCAACCCAGGGGTTGAACTCACAACCACCAGATAACCCAATTTGCTTTTAACCAATGCTATACTATCTATCCTGTAAGCCAATTTAGTAAAATAAACTTAGAGCTTTAAACATAATGGCATTTGTTTATTGAACCAGAATATTTGACTTTACCATAATTTGTCAAATTATGAAATAAATTAGGTTGTGGAATTTTGAGTCTTAGGATTAATGTCTTTCCTTTCTCAAAATAATGAGAACACTAGTCCAAATAAATTAGTGTATGATAATAAACAGACAATCTGAAATTTGCATCTTGTATAATTAATGTAGTTTATCATATATTTATAAAAATCTACTATTAATTATAAGTTTCTACCTACTATCCATTAATACCCACCATCTCATTTAATGGGTTAAATTTATTTGATATCAATTATGTTGCTTACTAAATCAATTCATTCTTATCTGGGATACAGTTTACAATGCAGAAACAGAATAGAAGAATGAACAAATATAAAATTAAAGTATGCAGAGATAATATTATATGAATGGCAGGTCTTAATAAAATCCATAACTTATTTAGATTTAACATTTTGGGGCATAATTTTAGATTTTATCTATTCTTATTGGTGAAAAGAAAGAAAAAAATGAGTAATACTGCATCTGTATTTGTTTATTAATTATATTTTCCATTAATATTTCTCATAAACATAGTAATTTCTTTCTAATTTCTTAATATATTCTTTCTTTGTATACCCCCATTTCAATATATGTTAAACTTCAGAGATTATTCTCAAATGTCAATCTGATCTACTAATTAGCAGAGAGTCAACAGAGAAATCACACCTGTTAACATGTACTATTATTATTGGATTGGTTCATTCATATGTGAATTAACAATTAATAGTAAGCATAGTCACTGCACTAGTTACACCACTCAGTATTGTCTAATTATTATTATTTGACAAAACATTTTAATAATCCCATATGAAGCTACGCAAAATAATTGTCTTTCTCTTTTCCAAGAATACAAAGCTTGATCAGTTAATAAACTAAGTACATTTCAAAAAGTCATATAGCAAATGAAGTTATTATTCCAATTACATTTTCAATTATACTGAACTCTGTTATAGACATGAAAGGCAACATCACCATATTAGCCAATCAAGTTTATCAATTGATCATACTGTAGTAATGGAATTAATTTTCTTTTGGAATTTGTTTTAAGTAAAAATTTCACCATGAAATAATTTCCCAATTCTAGTTCAAATGACACAGGTTTGATAAAACAGTTGAATTTTTCTTAGAATTAAATCTTGTAAAGATATATTAAAATTAAAGCAAGACACTTACTTTTGATTGGAAGGCTTGGAGAACTTCTAAGGCTTTTAATTTTCGAGTTTGCAAAGCTTGTTGTAATTCATCAATGTCCATAGACAGAATACAACATCTTTTTGTAACAGTTAGCTGAAACACAAAATAAAACATCTAGAAAAATCCCATTTAATTTCAATAGAAGTTAAAATTTGGTTTGTAAATAGCTTCACAAGAAACACAACATATTGCACCATATTCTGAGACTTGAATTAAATTCTAAAGCTTTGAATTAAATGTAAACATAATTCCTAAAGAAATGTGCTGGAATAAAACTGAAATTGGAACTTTATCTGCTTTATGCTATAAGTTCTATTCTCTCAAAACTTTCTATGTAGTGCTTAAAGGCGTAATTTTCATTTCTTGCAGTGCCTTTTGTAATCATATAAAATTGCTGAGTCTGCATATCAACTCTAACTGCTATTTCAAAAACTGTTCTTACATTTATACGAGTTAGAATATGGCCTGGTCATATTGCTGCTGATCCTATTAATGCCATAGTGGAAATAAAAAGTAACTTACATGTTATACATTTCACTTAGTGAGGATGGTGATAAGAATTTGAAGAGGCAGTACAGAGGGAGAAAAACAAGTAAAAAATGTCAATTCACCCTTTGTATTTATTTATTAATTTGTATTTGAGAAATATATATGATATTAAGTAAAACTGTTTATTTCTGGGACTGACCAAAGTAAGTGTAACCATGGACAATAAGAAACCATTGGCAATTGTACATCAAATATCTCAGTTATAAAGATCATAAACAGTGTCAAAATTAATGTTCTTTTTCATTTTAAGCATAAAAGGATAATTTGATTTTTTCATCATCAACAGAATGAACTTAGATAATAATATTTGAAGTTATGAATTAAAAATTGATCAATATTTTTTATAAATTGGGTTCTTTCTGAATTGTAATGAAACCTTGTCCAATGATCATTGTTGTTCTTATTTTATGCTTTTCCTCTAAGTCATTCTCTTATAAAGACTTGCAAATTTTTTCAATATTTTCCACTTAAATTTTCCAGATATATCACATGAAACTGTGTTTCATGGAAACAAACTTTCCAAATAATACTTCACTAATTCTTCTTCTTGAGCTAACATTCTTATATGACATGAAGTGGAAAGATTATATTGAATCTATTGCTAGGCTTGCTGCTAAGAAAGTTGGTACACTATGTCATGCTAGACAATTTTTCTCTCCAGAATTTATCTAATATATTTATAAATCTGTGATTCGTCCATGCTTTAAATATTGCTGCCACATATGGTCCAGTGCTTTTGCTGTATATTTAGAGATTCTTGATAAAATCCAAAGAAGAATCAACAATATTCTTGGTCCTGACCTAGCATTTCAGCTTCAGTCAACTTTCCCACCATCATAATGTAGCTTCTCTGTGACTTTTCTATTTGTCTTTTTACTTTCATGGTAATTGTTTTGATGAACTTTCCACTATGGTCCCTAAACTTTAGGAATTTAAGCACAGTACTAGATTGGTGGCAGGGTCTCATAAATTCACAGTTCAATTGGTTAGATGTAACTATAAGTTCTGTGCTAACATGTTTCTTTTCTTGCACTTATCACTTGTAGAATTCTTTCAGCTCCATGCTTTCCAGTCAACTTTGATCTTCAAAAATTTAAATACAATGTCAATTGTTATCTACTGTCTTCTTGATTACTCTTCCTTAATAATGTTTCTCTTTTTTCTTATTCTTTCACACTCAGTGTCTTAGTGGTTTACTGCATTGCATGGGGTGAAATGATTAAAAACAAAGAAAGAAAGAAAAATAACCAATCTTTTTCACTCAATATTTTCAGCTAAATGAAACAAAAAAGAATTACATCATTGCTTGGGAATCATTGTTTCAGTCTCCAAAATTATATTTGTCTGAAGAATAGAACATTATTTTTTTTATTTATTTGGTTGAGTTAGATCAGGCATTCATGAGTCTATCATACCAACCATCACAGTTCTGCATCAAGGTTGGAAGGTCATTAGGAAAGTATTATGTGCCATAACATTGGGCAACCAACTCGTCTTACTCCATGCCTAGGTGTCCAGAACACCTCATACTCATGAGTTCTTGTTTTGCTTGCCAGCAGTGTCCTGCAAAGTGCGTTCTGCATTTGTGTAAGATTGTAGAAATATCAAGGATGGGTCAATAGAGCTGTGATTTAGTTGGATGTTGTCTCCACAAGATGGTTAAGTATAGCTCCCAGCATCCGAGTGTACGTTCCACCAAATTTAGACTCTAGGGTTTTAGTTAATGTCCAGGCAGTGTGGCACCATACATTAACAATTCCTCTCCAGTGGCACAAAAGAATCTCTGCTGGAGATTGTCTGGTAGATCAGATTTCTAGATTACATCCATTTGATTCAAGGTGGCCCATGGTTTAGCTATGCGAATTTTCACCTCCTTTTCAGTAGAATTTATCTCATTTCCTAATTATGTAAAATATTTGACAAATTTTATTGATTCACCTGAGACAGTTTGCTGGTTGATGCCTATGAATTCATTTTTAGAGACATTGACAACATCATTGGCAGCATTTTGTAGAACTATGATATCAGTAATGATGTCTGCAGTGATAGCTAGGTCATATGCATAGTCAATATGTCATTTTTTTTTGCATGATATCAACTTGGTGATAAGGTAAAACCTAGATGATGATGTTTGTTGATGGAAGTTCTCAATATGTAGTCAAGGGTGATAACAAAGAGAAAAGGTACAGGGTGTCACACTGGAGTGCTCCTGCCTTGATGTCAAAGAAGTTAGTGTCTCCATGTGGAGATCTAACCAAAGATTTGGTATTTTTGTATAGCATCATTATGGCTGTTACTCTGGGAAGATGTCTTCTCTATTTTTCCCCTAGGTACATGATCAGAGGCTTTAGAGAAATCTACATAAGGTAAAGTGGTCTATAGATTCTTTGCCTTGATGATCTCAATAATCCACCAAACAGGATTTGTCCAACAGTTGATCTATTTTTTTTCAAAAGCCATTTTGAATTTTTGGGAACATTTTTTTCTACTTCCAGCTGTATTCTGTTGAGAAGCATTGAGTTGTAAATTTTTTCTGCAATGGCGGTGAGTGTGATTCCTCTATAGTTTTTTAAATGAAGTATATAGTCTTCAGTCCATCTTTTTAAGATTTCTTCATTATATGTGGCATTACAGAGTTGGAGTAGAATATCCAGCCTTCTGGAGGAATGTTATTAAGTCCTGATGCTTTCTTATTTTTAGTGTTTTTTAAAACCATTTCAAATTCTGCATCTGTAAAGTTTTCAGGCTTAATGTGAAGAGGATGTTCAATGATTTCCTCAACCTTAGTATCTAAAATGTCAGGTACATTTCCCAAGAGATTTTTAAAGGGATCTTGCCATTTATCCAGTCTCTCAACCTAGCTATTGACCTTTACCTTGGATTTATTTGTTGATTTTCTGCCACTGATCTCATTGACAGTTTTCCAAGCAAGAGCAGAAAGTTTGTTGATAGCAGCATAGCTGAAGAGTCAAATTCTTTCTTGGGTGTATTCAACTTGTTGATCTTCATAAAACTTCTTGAGTTGAGTTTGCACTTCATTGAAGTCTTGGATAGATTTAAGGGATGGATTTGAATTTCTTATGGTGGCTTTTTCTTTCACATTAGCCCTTTGTAAGTCAATGCTATTTGATTCCCAAGGAATGTGTTGCTGATGTTTAGGTTTTAAGGGCATGACATCTGCTGCAGCCTTTTCATGAGGAGTAACAAATTATTGTAGGTTGTATTAGATGGTTCTTCAGCATCTGCTTGTAGTACTTCAATCTTATTCCTGACAGCAATGGTGTACTGGTCTTTGAGATGAATGTTTATTGTTAGAGGAGATCAGTCATACGGTGGGAAGGCAAACTGCTTTTTCTTATTGGCTCTAAGGCTAAGTTGGATGGTGGAAAAGACAGTCCAATGGTCTGGAGATACTTCTTCAAATAGGGTGAAAGCTTGGCAATTCATTACACTGTTCTTCCACTTCTTGTTTATCTGGATGTGATCCAATTGGTGGTTCTTTTGAAATTTGGTGGTTAAGAATGCAAGATTATTTTTTTGTATAAAATCTTCAAGGAAGATCCTATTTCTGTTAGAGGTCACATGATATGCAAATTTGTGTACATCACTGACACCAACCAGAGCATTCATATCCCAACCAATAATCAGGAAGTTATGCTTTGGTACTAATCTGATAAAAGAAACAAGGCATTGATAGAAATGTCTCACCTTTTCTTTGTTGGTGAATAGCAAATGATGGTTGTTTCCATTGAAGCTAGTTATGATGAATTCGGGTTCAATTTCTTCAATGTTCATGAGCACTTTATGGGCTAGTGGACTGAGTAGCATGCCAGTACCATCAATGGTAGTACCTGTGGAATTTTTTCAAGCTGAGGCTATGGAATTTTATGTTATAATTTTTTTCTCATGTTGTCTTGATAGTATGTCCAAATAATATACCTAAACTTCTATTATCCATTAAAATTTATAATTTCATCACATTTTGCTTGTTTGTGTTGTTTTGATAACAAATAGAAAATACTTACAATAAGTGTGACAGCATGTAAATTTAACATGAGTAGATTATTAACATCATAACTTATAAAGTCAATAACCAACTAAAAGTAAGATGGTATTTATAATAAAACTGATACATTCATTATAACTTCACTGTTGTACATGTAAGAGTGCAAGTTGATGAATCTGGATATGAGATGAAAGGACTTTTTGGTTGGATAAGTTATGTGTGAGGGAAGAAGGCAGACAGGTTGATAACTGATGATTTGGAATCCTATTTTGATTTTGTCTTTTTTTTTAATCTTTGGCAAGGATACCCCCAAACCAGCAAAATCTAATTGATCAAAAAATTATTTCTTTTTGTGCAAAAAAATATGAAACTGGCCAGAGTGGAACTGTTTAACTCTACCAGGATATTTTAAAGAAAGTTTTAAATAGTAAAGAATTCCACCATAACCTTATTAACCAAATTAATAAGTTAAAAGTTAGCCTCAAAATAAATTTATAAAAAATAATGAGTATTATATAAAAAAAGCAGCTAACAGAAACCATTGTAATGAGGGATTATTTTTCATATCTTCATTTTTTACTTGCATTTTCACACAAAACTTTATAACTTCTTACAATTTGCCCTTTTATTTTTATTTTTCTATTTACATTTGGTTATTTTTTTAAATTATATAAATATTATTATACAGAAGGGCAATGTTTCAAGAATTCACATTTCATAAGCACATTTCCTATAACATTGATATTTATATTTCTTTATTACTTGTTCAAAATGTTATTGAAAAACATTAATGAAAAAATAATTAATAAGTTGTAGAGATGAAAAGTAGAAAGTTGGGAAAAATAACTCACATCAGAAGCCAAAAGTGATTCTTTTATCAAATTCAGGTTTTTATCTCTCTTATTTCTCTCCTCACCAATAGCTTGTTTAATCTTTATGCGCCTCTTCACATGGAGAAATACTTTCACCAAGATTACACCACCAATCAGCAAATAGATTCCTGACTTTGGATAATTCCAAAGTAAAGTCACAAACTCTTGCCAAGACAATTCCATTTATTTTTAATCCCTGGAAAATAAGATAATGGTAGTGAAATAATAACTTGTATATTTTATTTTGAATCCATTGTCAAAGAATAATTGATGGACATGAAACAGAAAATGCTTCCATAAGCTTAGGGTTACAACTTGAGAGCTCACATTTTCTTATCTCATGTAGATAAAATACAAATACATTTAGCATTCTGTGTTCTGGTTGGTAACAATAACACCAGTACCTTTTCTCTTGTGAGGACTGACGCAAGGAATCTATTTCAAATCCACAACTCACGACTTCCAACACTGCAATCTGCCATGTGAGACACTTTCTCCTCACTGTCTGTTAGCCTGTCTATTTATCTAGCTCAGAGCCCACACAACCTTTTGTACATCCAGGTGCCTGAATCAAACCACGTCCCACATCATGCTTAAACCATGTTTTCTGCGTTACGAAGGATGCAAGTCAGATCCAGGCAGGCAAGACACAATTAGGTTCTGAACCCATAAGTTATTATTCCTGCTACACTCACCCCAATCTCGTTATCATCACACAAACTGTAGGGTAGATGTGGCCTCTTGTTGTGAGCACTCCTCCAAAGGGGGACAGGCTCAGCCTCTTCTTCAGAAGAGCTCTCAGAAGGAGCATCTGCAGCATTTATCTCAGTAGTCAGGCTCTTAGGTTCACACTGGTGTGGTACAAAAATAAGTTTGCTCTCAGATGGCGCATCACTGTTGTCATTCACCAGCAGGGTTGCATCAAAGACAGGATGGTGAACATTTATACCGCACAGAGTTCCGCTAACCATGATGGAGTGTTGGCTGATAATACCAATGACACGTCCCTTCTTGTAATCTGGTGGTACACTGACTATTGGGGGGTTTCACCCAGACAGTATCTCCCACTTCATATGATGCACAAACTTATTGGTTGGATGGACATGCACAGTCAATCCCTTTTAGTTGAACTCAATACACATGAATCATATTAGCTGGTGCCAACTGGGATGTCTCATTGTCCCTTAGTGTGTCATTGTGCTAGTACACTGCCTCCATTATGGAACATCATTTCCTGGCCACTATTCATTTAACACCTGAGGGTACATAAGCACATTGGAAGTACATTCAAACACGCCATTCCTCAAGGAACCTCCTGAATTATTAAGTGCAAAATGCGGTGTCATTATCTGTCAGTAATTCTACCAGGGTCCTCATTCCCACAACACAGTTCTTAACCACACTCTCCGTATCCTACCACTGAAGGAATCACCAGATCAGTAATAGAATTGGGCCACAGTTGATGAGTGTCTGTCAAATAGTGTCTGCCGTCATAATGAATGATGTCCATCCCCAGTTGCTGTCATATATATTCCACCTGTAATCTTCCTGTCAGCCACTGCAAACAGGTGCAGGTCAATGGACTGACATTCTTTACATGTCTTGACTACCATTCTCATTTGTGCCTTTGTTATTTGAGGATCAACTTGTTTTGCAAAGTACCATGTCCTCATGACACCAGGATGCCCACTTTGCTGATGCACAAATTTAATCTGCTTGTACCCACACTCTTCCATGGATGCAACACAGGTGTTGTTACTTAGCCTGACCTCTCACTAAAGCAAGTCAAACTACCTGTGGTACTAGAGTCAACTGGTCAGTGAGGTTGCACTCTGATGCCATACTTGGCAACTAGCTTCTTGATGATTTCCAGTCTTCTTCTAATCAGTATCTCACTTGCGAACCTGGACCAAATCCTGGCCTTCCCTGTTAATGTGTCTGATATCCAATGGTACACTCATAGAGAGCCTGTCTGCAGATGCAGCCTCTTGGCCTTCAACTGAAGAACCAGGTTAACATGGTCCAGGTCTGGCAAGGTCTTGGCGTCCAGGTCTGCCAAGTTAATGTGTGCTGTGTTGTTCATGGGACTTAACCAATATGCATGCTCCAGTATAATTCTGTCCTCTTCTAGCAAGACGCTGATTGCTAAAGAGTTGGAGTTGATCCATATGTTGATTTTCTCCCCCCGTCTGCATACCAGTCTCCATGGGTAGGATTGTCCTGTCACATTCTCATCAGGGTCTCCTCTAAAATGCATATGTAAGGAGGGTATCAGTTGCTTCAACACATCCTTGGGTAAGCATGCTAGTGCTGCATTTTATAATACCTGTTGCCACATGCAGCCACCCACACACAGGTAGGTGGCGCATAAGCTTCTCACACAGGGAAAAAAAACAATGATGACATCAGGAATGTCTGAAATTGAAGTTCCCAATCTCCATAACAATCTGCTTTGCTTCTTCCGTACCTTCAGGCCCAGTACCCAGGCTCCACTCTTGATCTGTTCCAGGTCCTTGCAGACCAAGCCAAATTGGGTCAGCTTCACCTATACTCTCATCGACGATGTTAATGTAGATGTAACCTCAGTGTAAAAGTTTAAAAAGTAACCTCAGCATACCTAGATGACTAGGTACACTAAGGTTACTTTTTAAACTGCCTTTTCCTGAGACAGTATGGCGCTAATGACGATCTTCATTATTTGGGGTACCACATTGCCCGAAGCCCAGTCTGGTTAGGTAGTACCTTCTGCTATTGAACATCATGGTCTGGAATGGCCAGAGTGATTCACTGACCCTAATCTGCAGATAGGCTTTGCAAATATCTAGAAGGGACTCTGTTGACGCCATTCTTGCAACTTGCTGGCACACGTCTGCATCAGCTGTAAAAGTGTTGACAAGCTGGTTAAGCTCTCGGTAATCCAGCACTAGCTGTACCTTTTCCTTGTTCTGCTGGACCACAGGCATCAAAGGGATCAGGCCCTTAGAGGGACCTAGTTTGTGTTCTGGGTATGGAATCAACCAGCCATCTCTATCCAGGACGCAGGCCTGATGCAATCAGGCACACAATATTCCGCCATGTGTTTCTGGAGCTTTGGTGGTTCCTTGTCCTCCATCCACTTCCATGAGGCAATCCAAGCCTTCTGGTGTTAGTCAAATTTGACACTGAAGTCAGGCTGGTATATCTTCAGTGCTGCACACACAGAAGCTGCCTCCTGAAATCACAGCACTCCCATGTGCGTGATGTGGACACTGCCTTGATGGCATTGTACCCAAGCAGCAAATCAAAGTCCAGGAGCTTCAATAGAGATTCTGGCCTCTGTAGTGATCCCAGCCATCCCAATGCCACAACATACATGAGTCTCACCATTTATTGTGGTCACCAGGACTCTCTTTCTCCTCCAGGTGTTACACAATCTTTTGCTGACTATCATCTGGCAAGAACCCGAGTCAAGGAGTGCCGAACACAGCAATCCATTGACATATACATAACTCACGTTGGTCCTAGTAGTAGACTGTGACGACCAGCTCTTCCAAAACAGAGCTCTCCTTTATAATGGTTTGGGCGAGGTTCAACAACATCTATGCTTGAGTTTGCTCACAACTCAGTGGGTGCCCAGGCAGGAATGCATATGCTATCTTTCTCTCAGGCACTCCTCTAAACAATTGCACCAGCTTTTGTAATACTGCCATGTAAACAGCTACAGTAAACAATAACACCAGTACCTTCTCTCTCGTGAGGATTGACACAGGGAATCTATTTCAAATCTATTTCCAACACTGCAATATGCCATGCTAGGCACCTTCCCCTGTCTGTCTATTGGCCTATTAATCTAACTCAGAACCCACACAACCTTTTGTACATCCAGGCACCTGAATCAAACCACATGTCCCACATCCCACTTAAACCATGTTTTTTGCATTTCAAAGGATGTGAGTTTGATCCAAGCAGGCAAGACACAACTGGGTTCTCTTCCTCTGCTGAACTGGTAAATTATTATTCTCAGTACATATTCTCAAGCAGTTGTCCATTTTTAAGTATTGACTAGGCTAAATAGCTAACTAGGCATTTTAATATACTATAAACCAAAATACTCAGTTAATAATCAGTATTTTGGTGTTTGGGCATTTTGAAAGACTAATTATGGAAAGTTGATAACATTTCAGTGCCCGCTATCATATGAATAATATACATTTTTATTACATTTTCCTAAAAGTTAAAAATTTATGCTAATTTTGTATAAAATATAATTTAATGTTATAATATTTAGATAAATAGCTGTTATTAAACTTTTTAAAGTGATCTGCCACACAAGAGTATAACCATCACTGTATTTCTATTCCTCATGTGATGTAGTGAATAAATCACAATAACTGGTTGTCATTTTGATTCCATGACGAAAACAGCAAATGCAGAGAAATCAGATTTAAAAACTGGCATTTTAGGCATGAAAAAATTGTTACAATATTTGTTAATATAGTTGTTAGAGAAAACAAGGTTTTCAGTCAATGCATAACTTACTCGTCAGTGTGTTTGCCCATAGTAACACATTTTGTCCTAATCATTCTAACCTATTTGATGGTTTAGTTAGAAATCCCGGTTCGAAAGAAAAATCAGAAAAAAAGGGAAAATTGAATGTCTTTGGCTAGATGCGAAAGTTTCTCATCATTATTCTCATGATCTAGTTGGCCGAATCGTCTTGCTTGATAAATTGTCTGAACTTGGAATTGTTTTCGCCGTTTCTTTCTCCTGTTGTTTTTAATTTTATTGAAAGCATGTCTCCCAAGCCCACTATTTGGTGAGGGCGGTGGATTGGCCGTCGATTCCCCCCCCACCACCACCACCAGGTCGATGCTTGGACTTAAGGTAAGCCATACATTCACTTGTTATCATGAGGAAGAAAGCGGACTAACACTCACTGCCACGTATGTTGGGGCATTTATTATGACATAGCAATAAATCCGGATAACCTTATTTTCTTCAATTTCTTTTTAGAATAGACAATGGGACTTATACTAAGTTAAAACTTAATGTTGCGAAAGGGTAAAATCCAAGTGTCAGCCAGGACTCTTTGCAAATTACCTCCCCCTCTCATTGTTCCCTCTGTTTTTGTCGTTCTTGTATGTGTTATATGTAATAGGAGTAGGTAGGCTTTCCTACCGCCCGGTCAACACTCCTCCCCCTTCTCTTGGACATGAGTAGAAGCTTACGCCTTGTTTCTCATTTAGGAAGGGGTTCCCGGTCTCTCTCTCTCTCTCTGGCCTCTGTATTAGTGCAGCTCTGTTTCTCCCGTGATGTGTGCAGTCTGTGGCATCACCTCTTCATTCTGAGGGTACACGGTTGACAGTTCTCTGATTGCTGTTTCCAACTGGTAGTTAGGAGCCCTAACTTTTGCGTAGCATCTTGAGCGGCCGCTCTCATCAACAGTTGTATAATACCAGGTGCATGTCGCGCATGGAAAGGTGTCCCTGCAGTCACCTCCAGTGGGCAACCCTGAGGCTGCATGTTGTGCCAACTCCTCTCTGCCCACATCACAGTCGATAACTGTCTGCTTCTTTTACTTTGGGCCATCTCATCTTCCAACCAAAATTCCACATGACTTACAAAGACCGAAAAAGTAATCCTAAACTAGCCACTCAAAAATCACCTAAACCCCTCAACATTTCGTTCTCCAACATCCATGGCATTAGAACAAACTTCTCCAGTATGGAATCTTTGCTCACTGCAAACTGCCCGGATAAACTGGCACTCTGTGAGACCAACCTTGTCTTGTCTATCCCCTCTTCTGATCTCTCGATCCCAGGCTACCTTCCTCTCCTCAGAAAAGACTCTCTAACCCACATGCATGGCCTTGGTGTCTATGTCAAGTACCATCTGCCTCTGGCCAGAGAGTGGTCTCTCTTCTTCCTTTACTGCTCTCCATCCTCTCAAGACTGTGGGATACTTGATAGCATTTTTGACAGCATAGACAAAG